CAAGACAGGTTTGCACACAGAGAGCGTGAATATTAATACCACAATCGGAAAACCGTTCAACACTACAAATTGATATAGCAAAGGTCTACTTTCAGGTAAAGAAGACAACTGGCGATGAGAGCGACAGCTCAGGTCATGATTTAACAATGTTTAACAAATTCATACGCACTTTCACATTGATTAGATGAATTCACGTGTAACATGTTAGCTATCTTGTATAATCAATCTCTACACTAAAAGATCCGTACTGTTTAAAAATTCCCTAATAATTCATAATCAATCATGATATTAACTAACGAAGTAGTTTTTAATTAATTAATGAAACAAATTTTAAAATGGATTTATTATAATAATTGATTATATTCTGTTTTCCTAATTTTTGTTTGAGAAGACTAGACTCTAAATTTTATCAAAACAAGAACTCCATACTAACTCATTAAAATTTACCTACAAACGTTTTATGAACAAAGATCTACACTGGTAACGTAGTTCATTTTTAATTCATTTAAGTTTTAAAAACGTACAAATCAATATGTACTGAGTTGTCATATAAGAAACACTATACCATGAAAATAAATTATTATAATCACTTGTCAGAAACTTAGACTTTTTCGAAACACAAATAGTAGCCGATATCTAGAAAGAGAAGTAATTAGTTAAAATGATTAAGGTATTATAAAACAACTTAAATTATATTATGAAATATTATTTTATTTTTACCATAACAAAAAAAAGAACGAATATACATGTGTATGTGTTGTTCCTCTTGTATCACTTTAATCCATGCAAAATATGTAAACAGATGATTTTATTTATCAGATAAATAAATTCACCATTGGAACCGCATGGACAAAAAAAACTGAAGGTGAATGCAGAAAAATATGAATTAACTGAATGTTTGTGTAATGTGTACGCTAATGTGCAACGTCTATATCGTATATGACTACAAAACATATGTAATAAATTCAATCGAGCATAGAAATAACAATTTTCGTTCAATCGATAACAATCATAGAAATTTTTTTTTAAAAACTCAAAGGCCAACAATTCTTTTAAAAAACTGTTTACAGATCTATTTTAGGCACAGATGAAAGTAGTAAAACAGTCAACAATACAATTAAGTTGATGAAAATTTCAAAAAACATAACATCGATGTGAAATACGAAAAAGAAAAAACAAATCACTAAGAAACTGATTTTCCCACTGCATGTGTGTGCCGAAATGAAGAGTCGAGGAAAAACACTACAACAAATTTGAAAAAAATAAAATTAGTTGTTAGGATTGAAAGAGTGAGCAATTTTTTTGAAGAAATTTAGTTTACATTCAACATTGACGCTGTATATCAGGTAACCATGACTAATAGTAAAAATCAACAAGTAAAATTCAATTCAAAATTAACTGTCCCTTTATTATAAACTAATATTTAAAAAATAACTGCTGAAAACTAAGGATTATTGGACAACTATATACTGGTATTCACTAGATCATTGAGATATCCACTTCGAAGCTAGCTTCTAATGTGTACGAAATTATCTTATTTTAAATACAAGCTAGTGTCATACATAAAGCAACTATTTGAACAATACTATGATTATAATGACATAAAAGTAATATTTCCTTAGATTTTGATGTTGCTTTTTGGTAAATGTTAACTACATTACGATTCCAGGATACATTCCCGATATATATATATATATATATATATATATATATATATATATATATATATATATATATATATAACTAAGACTGTGATAAAGGTGGTTACTACTGATGATAACGTACTTAACATTCCACACATTTTAATCATTAGTTTCGAAAATAATTTCAGAACTAACCAAATCGGAATAATTAAATCCTACTTCTCTAATAATTCTCTAGCTCATTGTTCATTGCAAAGCTGTAGCTCAATCTGTTAGAACAGGAGCTTGGTAGTAACTGCTCAGAAATATACGTAGTAAACAGAAAGAAATTTATTTATTCTACCAAACCGTAGCCGCTACCTTGAAGTGGCGGTCACGCTTAGATATCGTGATGAACCAACCGAGCTATATTGGCTGGAACATATGTTCCTGTAGGTTCTACCAAGCCAATCAGGTCGATTGGATAACGGTAAGACTAAAGGCAGCAACTCAAGGTCTGAGGGCGAAGTCGTACTGCTGACTATAGACGGGTGTGACAGCAGTAAGACGTTTCCTTCGGATAACCAGCATCTGCAGCAATGATGCCTTCTCACAAGGAAGGAAGGGGGGTTAGAAAAGGTCGACCATAAAAATGTCACACCTCACCTTACCTCACGGATTTCCGTCGCCGGCTGTAAGGCCCTTTCAAGAACGGAGCTAACAAGTTAAAAACCTCCCACAAAAAGGCCGTGCACGAACGGCCTTAAGCAGTTGTGCCTTGAGCTTTGCGGTGCCGTTCCCAGGTCGTTAAGACCAACATTATCCGAATCCCTTTTAGGATCCTCAAGAAATACCTTTCCACCGTGTGGGAAGCCCGGAAGTGACAGCAGCCCTCATACCCGTAACAGCACACGAGGTCAAGTAGGTAATGTTCATCAAATCCCTCATACACCTCCTAATAACCCTTTTATCTCCACGACTATCCCTTCTCACGTCCCTTTATCACCTCGCACCGATGGGGCAAACGACTCGAGTACGCAGAATGAGATTCCTGGTCTCCTGAAACCACGCTCTAAACTACACGTAGGAGCTTTAAAAGTTCGAACACTGCCAAATAGGACAACAAGATTCCTTAATTAGGATTCTAGAATCTCGCGCCATCGATGTGTGCTGCGTCTCCGAAACACGCACACAGGATCCGAGTAGCGTCATTCATTTGACATCACCATATCAAAATAAAAAACCAACTCGATTCACGCTCCATGTATCTGGAAGCCCTGATGCTGCTTCCCGTGGCCTCGCTGGCGTAGGTATAGCATTGAGTCCTAGGGCAGAACTAGCTCTCTTAAACTGGATCCCAGTAGACAGTCGTTTATGCGCTGTCCGACTAAACGGAACAGTAAGGACTCGGAAAGATAGGGACACTTGTCGTCGTTGCCTACTCTCTCATTGACTGCAGCCCAGATGATGTAAAAGATGAGTTTTACAGAAAGCTGATGACTTTAATGCCCAAGTAGGTAAACTAAGCGGAAAGGAAAGACATCTAGGTGGATCTTATGGTGTCGTGGCTCAAAGAACAGATAATGGCGACCGTCTGTTGCAGTTATGCTCAGATAACCGCCTCTTTCTTGCAAATACTAACTTTAATCATAAGGAAAATCATCTTTTGACATAACGACCCCCAAATACGTCCCAAAGAAGTACATTAACCTTATATAGGCTCTCTGCCCAAACACAACTGGTCGAGTGATAGCTTATGGCGAACTGTCATCAGAATTGATTACCTCAAGTGATGTTCGTCAGGGCTGTTCACTTTCTCCATTCTTGTTCCACTTTGTGGTCGACGTACTTTTAGAGATGACACTTTCCTCATCTAAATTTCCAGGAGTTGAACTTCCACCAGGATATTCACTTGTTGACTTAGAATATGCCGATGACATAGTTCTATTTGGTGAAGACTCTGACAAAATGCAGAGTCTTCTGACCACTCTAAGCAACAATGCAAGCATGTTCGGCATGCGATTCTCCCCATCCAAATGCAAAATGTTGCTTCAGGATTGGGTTGCATCGACACCCGAACTAATGATAAGGAGTGAAGTAGTTGAGCGTGTCGACCGCTTGACATATCTTGGAAGTCTCATCAACCGTTGTGGTCTGGTGTGTGACGAAATCTCAGCACGGATACAGAAGGCTCGACTAGCTTTTGCCAACTTGCCTCATTTATGGCGTAGGCGAGATATCCGTCTACCAACTAAAGGACGGTTTTCCTGCGCAGCAGTTCGTTCCGTCCTTCTTTATGGCAGTAAAACATGGACGGTAAGAGTAAAGGATATTCGTAGGTTACTAGTATTCGATCATAGGTAACCTCGAAACATTGCTCGTATATCCTGGGACCATCGAGTAAGTAATGCAGTCGTTGGGAAACGGGTACTAGGTAAGGATGGCGAATCAATTGAAGTAGTAAAACTTCATCAGTTGAGATAGCTGGAATATGTGTTACGTATGCCCAACCACCGACTGTCCTGACGAGAGATGTTTTCTCGTGTAGGAGTAGGTTGGAAGAAAGCTAGGGGCGGTCAGACCAGAACATGGCACAAACCCATGAAGTCACTGACAAGTGGACTGAGTCATGTTGGTAGGTGTAGACTAGGTGGTTGGGATCCACAAGGTGATAGCAACCGATGGTTAGAGACCTTGAATGACATGGCTCAAAATCGTTTGCGATGGCTCAGGTGCATTTACTCTGTGTTCTTCCTAATTTTAATCTTCTGAATTCTTCATGTCCCTTCTTTCTCTTTCCAAATTTATTTCACTGAATTATACTCCTTGAATAACATCTTCAAACCCTAATCTTTCCGAGTACGGCTTATACTTTTACTACCTATACCACTACGGGATTTGAATCGACAATTGTATTTGTGTGCTAATGTGGTATGGCAACTCGAACTGATGTACGTACGTACGAAGTTCTACGATGTTGCCGACTGACTGACCGACTGAGTGATATACATACATCGAACAGCTAATAGCAGAACTTTAATGACAGGATAGTGGATATGATGCATAACATTACCTAAACTGGTTAGTGTTTATACTAGAGAACAAACTACGTATTTGTGTACAGGGTATAAGATTAGGCAGAATATCGATTATCCTGTTTTTTCTATGTCTAACCTTGATCGAGTAGTTTCATAAAGAACTGAATATGTCTAACAAAAAAGACTGAAATAAATAAACAAATAACTTATCATTTAACATTCTATACAAATATAACAGCATACAATAACATAGATTAATTGTTATTTAAAAGGAATTCATACTTACAGATCGTTTACTGATACCGGTGATAAGTTATATAGCTCTTTATTTATTAGCTTGTCAATCATGTTGTTGCCTGCTTACATCTAATTAGAAAAAGTAAAGAATTAAATAATATACAGATATATATAGGTAAGAAATAAATAAATCCTTAAGCTAATTTGGAAATGAATAAGACGAACTAATTAAAAGATTCTAACAAGTTAACTACTACTCAGCATAAGCATAGTATACTGATTAAAATAACACCAATAAGCTCTCTCATACACACACACGAACGTACACAAACATATTTCAAAATATTGCGAAGAAAAACAAACTAAAAGAAAACTAATAAACCACGAAAGTTAAGGTGTTTATTAAACGAGATACTACTTACAAAACATTTATTAGACAAGTGAATTTGGTTATCTAGAATAAATTTAATTCAATATGAATGAAAGCAATAAAACAAACCAATAAATGAATCAAAACAGAAGACAAAAATGTACGATAAACACACTCATGATGTAAATTAATAATCAAAAATCACTTAACGTATTATTTGTATATATTTCAATCCTGATTAAACAAATAAACTGAACCAGATAAAGACTTTCAGTGTTATATTGACAGATATATTAATACACTACGATAATAACACGATTATCAGTTACTAGTATTTATCGTCAGAGACAGATTAATATGATTTTTCACATTCATGTAGTAGGATATATTTGTACAATAATGCAGCCTAATTGATTCAACACAAATAGACAGTTAGAATCATTCAATTACAGTTAGATACACAAATGGCATAAAGGTAAGTATTGATCATATTTATAATAAAAGACGATTTCCATATAATTATATGTATTTGACCTGTTCCTAGTGACTTTTTGAGTGATTTATGATCGTATGTTATCCACACTGATGATGCTCATACAGAAATAGTGATATGCTAAACTGTATCAGACGCAACACAATTTTGTTACCAAACTATAAATTCAATGGTTTCCACCACATTATATACTTCTAATAAAAGATCTCACAATGATTGTCACTGAATCTTTGGATAACAATTTACTTTGGCTTTTTATAGATATCCTAATAACTTCGATAAACTATTTGGTGATATAACTGTGATTATAATCAGATAGGAATCGAATCAAACAAAATAACTCGAATGATTAACAACAGATGTATCAAATGAACGAAGCATTCAAGAACTGTGTACACTTCATTTTGATCACTAAGTTTTCTACTCATTGTTCAAAGCTGAAATCATCCTCCAATTATCTAAACCGATCTAAAATTTTAAAGCAAAAACTACTATTATTCGCTCAAAATGACAAGTACACCTTTCTATTTTGCATGATGATGACGGGAAAAAATTTTGCAGTTGTAAATTCTTAAATTTTGTTGCTTTGTAATTGTTACGCTTGGGAAAATAACTAATAACACCTGGGAGAGGAAGGCTTAACATATTACAATTATTTTGTTTAGCATAGAATAATATCAATAAAATGTCTACCTACCCTCAGATGTGGTTTTGTAGGAAAAATTTGCCACATCACCACCAACATTAACAGCTGATCCATCAGTATTATCAAAACTCAAACGTTGTTGATCAACCGTATGTTCAGTTTGGTAAGCTGAACCACTAAGTAGATTGACATTAATAACTGGTGCACATCGTTTTTCTTTGGCGGCAAGACGACTCACAATGATAGGTGGTTCAAAACCGACTTCTTCTAGACCAGTCGCTACAGATGGCGCCCGAGGTATGTCAGAAATTAATTGATTATCTATTGTAGTCAATGAAGATGGAGTGACAACGTCCATTTGATGGTACGGATTTATTGATGACGGCTGAAAGTGAATAATAAATAAGTTCCATCTATCGAGCAAAACATTACTGGAATTAGAATACACGAAAATATGTTATTATCATTTGATTTTGTTAAGTTATAAGTGAATTATACATATTTTTGTGTTGAATCGATCCTTTAGGAATTTTTACATGATAATTTACTCATCTAATTCGCACTGACAGTAACTAAAGCCCTCAATATGACACAGTAAAAAACAGTCCAGATAGAACACAGTAATGACTTTGTATGAGGAATAATGTAAAACATAAGCTTATGATTATTCAATTTTGAGTGAATTAAAACTTGAAAATGAGAAGAATGGACAACTAAGTGCTTCATAATATATATTTTCTAGTCCCTTGATATAAACTTATTTGAAATTGATCATTTATAATACATAGATGTTCAAAGGATTATTTCGAAAGGATCTGTATATACATAAAAAGAATAACGTAGTGATCAAGTTAGTCAACAGATAATACCTAAATTTAGTATAAGAATCCCGACCGTTGCTGCTACCTTGACGGGATGATCGAGCTTGTATATCGTGATGAACCGATCGAGCTATACTGGCTGGAACAATCGTCCCTCTAGGTCCTACCATACCAGAGAGGTCGGTTGAAGAGCGGTAAGACTAAAAGCAGCAAACCCAATGTCCGAAAGCGGAATCGTACTGCTGACTGTGAAAAGGTGTGAGAGCAGTAAAGTGTTTACTTCAGACAACCAGCATAACAGCGATGCCGCTTTCCCACATGGAAGGGTGAGGTTGGAAAAGGTCAACCCTAGAAATGCACAACTCGCCTTATCCCATGAATTTACGTCTCCGGCGGTAAGGTTCCAATAAATACGGAGCTAACACGAAAACTAATCACAAAAAGGTCGAGTGTGACCGGCTTCAAACAGTTGTCACTTGAGAACTCCGGTCACGCTCTCAGGTCATTAAGATCACCCCTAACCCAATTTCCTTTTCAGGTACCTCCAGAAGAACACGTCCATGGCGTGGGCAACCGGGAAGTGATAACCACCCTCATACCTCTAACAGCACTCAAGATCACTGTATTCATAATCAACCTCCCTCTTCAACTCCTATTATTCCTCCCATATCCACTTTCAACTCTAAACTTACTATTTTGACTTCCTCCTCAAATATCACCCTCGCCAACGATTCTAGAGCGCAAAACACTGTCCCAGGTCTACTGAAACCTCTCTCTAAACTACACATTGAAGCCTTCAACGTACGCACCCTATGTCAAATTGCCCAACAGGCCACCTTGGCTAAAAATCTTAGAATCTTGAGATGGTGGAGAATCTTGTACCATTGATGTACGCTGTGTCTCCGAAACACGCATACAGGATCCTAGCGTGGTCATTCACTTGACCTCACCTTGCCAAAACGGAGAGCCGACAAGATACACCCCCCCCCCGTATATCTGGCGACTCGATGGCTGTTTCTCGTGTAGTGGCAGGTTGTAGGCATAGCACTAAGTACGAGGGCAGAACAAGCACTATTAGAATGAATCCCCGTTAACAGTCGCCTATGTGCTGTTCGGTTAAACGGCTCCGTAAGAACTCAGAAGGATAGAAACACACGTCGTTGCCCTCTCGTCGTTTCTGCCTATGCTCAGACTAATTGCAGCCAGGTGAAGTGAAAGATGACTTTTACAGAAAGCTTTCCGAACTCCTTCATAAAGCTAAACACTCAGATGTAGTAATCGTACCAGGTGATTTTAATGCCCAAACAAAAAGACATTTAGGTGAGAATCTTGGTATTCCGGCCCAGAGAACAGATAATGGTGATCGTCTGTTTCGCAAGCATTAGTTTTAGGCATAATGAGAGACACCGTCTAACATGGCGACCCCCTGCACCAAACTAACGATGAACTCGACTAGACCATACTGCCATCAGCCAGTGTTAGAGAGGCTCGATAGAAGATTGTCGATCGTTCTGGAGTACATGTTTAGACTCTAATACGTACACACATTTACTTGAGCCTCATTGGACGTAGAAAAGCCACATCAAGAAGACTCGTTAGAATTGAATTGAGTGAGAAAGCCGAAAGTAGATTCAAGGAACAACTGAGATCACACTTGGGTAGTTCTGAAAACGAGGCTGACCCAGATGTTGCTTGGAAAGATATACAATCAGCTGTGGAAACAGCAGTGACATCAATCAGTGATTTGAACTAAAATGTCATAAAAAACCAGTGGATTTCTGCTACACCATTTGCACTGATGGATTCTCGTAAACTCATCCCATCAGGCTATGAACACGATGAAGAGCAAAAACAAATCAGATCTAGATTAACTAAAAGTTTACGGAACGACTGTGGGCAGTGGTGAGGAACGAAAGAAAGAAAAGGCAGTGGCTATAGGTAACACCAGACAGCTTTTCAGACCAATAAAATAAACTGGAATTAGGGAGTCAAGTGTAAGTAAGACGATCTTGGAAAAAGACGACACTTATTTACTCTCAGCCCAGATGTTTAGGACGAAGAGCAGAACACTTTAAGGAGTAGTTTAGCTGGCCTTCAGCTACTCTACAACTACCCAACATTCCCAAACACCATGAATGGAACATTGAAGTAGCTATGAAACCAGGAAAAGCAGCTGGTTCAGATGAATTGGCTCCAGAGGTCTTTAAGTATAGTGGTCCAATATCAGAGATTAGGATGAATAATATTTTAGCTAAAATCTGGGAACTAAATTTAATACCATCTTGGAAATCTGATCAGCACTAAAGGGCTGGTGCATGACAAAATCCCAGCACGGATTCAAAATATGTCGTTCAGCTTTTGTCAACCTATGCCACCTATGGCGAAGGTGAGATATCCGTCTATCAAACAACGCGGCAATTCTTTCTGTTCTGCTGCGAAACGTGGCCATTAAGAGTAGAAGATACAAGTTACTAGTATTTGATCACAGATGTCTTTGAAACATTGCTCGCATCTGCTGGGGATACCGGGTAAGTAATAGTGAGGTTAGACGGAGGGTATTAGGGAATAATGGTAAATGCGTTGATGAGGTTGTAAATCTACATCGACTAAGATAGGTTGGTCCACATATTACGCATGCCCAACCACGGACTACCACAGCGCACAATGCTGACTAGTGTTGGGGACGGATGGAGGGGAGTTAGGGGTGGTCAAACCAAAACGTGGTATCAATCCACAAAGCCACCAACTTCTGGTCTGAGCCATGTTGGTAGATGCAAACCACTTGGTTGGGATCCACGTGACTGTCGTAACTAATGGTTGGAGAATGTGGGTGATATGGCTCAGAATCGATCACAATAGCGTCAGTGTATACACTCTTTGTCCTCTCTTAAACTGTGAGATTAAAATTACTTTGCACCTTTAATTCTACGAACTAATTCGTTCTTCCTGTATTATATCCTTATACGCAATCATTCTTTTATATATTACTACCATTGAGGTAAATACTTCTATGAATTTGGTGTTCTTGTTGTGCTAATGAGATGTGGCAATTTGGACTGATGCATATATGTGCCTGGTCCTGTGTTGTAGATGACTGATGACTGACTTAGTATAAGAATCCAGTCCTTCAAGATGTTTATGAGAGATAAATGGGAGCCCTGAGTAAAAAAACCCTTTTAAATATTAGGTTAAAAAACGTACGTGATCACTACGTTGAGAAACGTTGTTACGATAAACTTGCATAGTGTTAGAATGTACCATTTGTTGATTGCTACGACTTGTAGACATCATAGCCTGGTTATTTATCCCATAACTACTAGGCAAAGAATCAGGAGCCAGTTGAGATTGGTGAACTAATTCTGACATTTCTGGATAAGTTAATCGTGTGGCTTTAGGTACAGAAGTGCTCTGGGCACCGGTATAATCCCCTTGCGTGGGAGGGTTAGCAGTGGAAATAAACTGACCAGGAGCATGCGGACTCATTGAAGGAATACCAGAAGTGACTGATGTCAGGATCCTCGACCCACTAGGTGAGACTGGATCTGGTCTTGTTTGGGACTGTTGATAAAACATTGCCGGATGCTGAGCAGAAACCTGTTGTGAAAAATAAGCATGCCTCATTGACTGCTGCTGCTGATGAGCTTGATTTTGCGATGATACTGAATGGTAGGGATCGTGAATTGAAGCATGTTGCTGCCACATTGGAGTATTAATGTAGTTAGCATATGGCTGACAATGAGACTCATTGGGTTGTTGGTGGACAAGGTTACTGCTGGGTTGGTTCATAGACGTGTAAACAAGTCCTGAGCAGGAACTACCTTGCTGTCCGCTAGTGGACTGGGAAAGAGAATGACGGGACATTATATGTTCCTGTTCCTGCTGAGCAAGATGAAGTTGCTGTTGTTGCAAGAGCTGTTGGTGATGTTGATGTTGAACTTGACGTTGATGAACTTGTTTAGCTAGAATTTCTTTGAGACGTTGACGTTCCAACTCGGTACTTGAATAGTTACCTTGTTGTGTATGAGCCTGCTGTTGTGAGCCAGTATAATTGCCAACAGACGGGCCTTGCTCAACAGCAACTGGTAAAGACGATGAGACATGTTCATTAGATGAAGATTGTGGAAGTGTATTTATTGAATAAATTGACTGAGATGTATCACCTTCTGATGTCATCCTACTGACATGCATTGCTGAACTACCCACAATAAAAACATTCCCTGGATTTGTCGGGGCAGAATAAGAAAGCACACCAACATTACCCGGAGACGCTCCAGCCCCAGGAGTGGTAGGCGCTGAAAATGTATTCCCAAGACCACATAACTGACTATTCGGCGTACCAGGAGTAGCAGGATGAGAAGCAGCAAAAGAATGGTTTTGCTGTCGACTAACTGAACTTTCGGAGGGGAGTAAACTCTGTAATAAGATGGAAAGTTGAAAAATGTTATCTGAAATATTTAAAAAACCATGCGCAATAAACGAAACCGACAATCAGACACAAAAACTAGAAGTAACAATGTGTTGGAATATTCAGAAAAATATCCCAAAAACAATTATCCGGTTAAGTCTAATGCTACCCTTGAACGTTAAATGGTGTCATTTTCCTATTGGTCGTTCCCCTACTGATCAATATTTATTCACCTGTCATTTTTCTGTTGGTCAATATTTATAGTAATCCTAACTGTATAATTATGCATTTGTTTGTAAATCATTATTCTGCTCCTGACCCCATAAACAATTTTTCATCTACGGTTCGTGTTCTGATATATTGGAGATTGGGTAACAATAATGGGGTCGCACTATGATATCTGAAGCTGGTCAATCGGTAGAAATTAGTGTAGCTACCTCGCGATTCACAATACAATGATGCATGAGCTAATTAACTACTAGGCCTTAATTTATCAGGGAAAACACATGGCTACAAATACACAAGCAAAAAATGGTCGAATCCCAATCAAAACCACTGCTCAATAACCGCACAATATCTGGATGATAATATGGTTCAATGTTGAAAAACGGTTGGAGCTGAACTAATGATTACAACCCAATCAAAAATCATAAATTAGCTTGTTCAGCTATTGATATAAGTATTACTATTTGAAATTTATTTTATTTTAACACATGAACATTGGTACGAGGAGGTACCAAATATATGTGCCACACAATAACAATGAGGCCAGTAGTTATCATTGATTTGTGTGAGGGTTGTGATGCTTCCCGGGTGCACAAACCGAAACAGGTGGTTTTCTTAGGGTGCCACACCCCGATCCTTTGACCTGAAGGTCTAATCCACAAGGGAGTGGAGAAACATAGGAAGGTGCAAACCCTTTGTAGCCGGTGACCGACAGGTTTATGAGTCATTTGTTTCCACAGGATCCTGGAGCCCATATGCACCATTGGTTTGGAATCAGGGTCTTCCAACTCCCCTAGGTGGACCCTCTGTGTCCACCGACCCGGTTAGGGAGACGGATATTTGCTTTTCGCCTTCTCAATTTAGAAAACAATTCTCCTGCCGCCAGAATACAGTGAGTAGGACTTCCCTGACATACCTGAACTAAAACTGCCGAAGGTAAAGAAAATTTCGAGACTGCAACATGTTTACAAGATGAGTGATTAAACTAATAAATTAATAATTCACTTCTACTCCCAAGTATGTTATGAACTACTATGAGATTGTGACTAAGATTCCGAGATAAAACAGTACAAAAAAGCACTTAAAAAGGGTACTCAGAAGAGACAAACAATTTCAAATAATTAGCTAACCACCTGTGAAGTAAGATGATGACCACTAGGTAAAATTGTATGATGAGATTGTGGGACAGGAGAAGGATGTGACGAAGGCATTGGTGTCGCTGTTCCAGCGGTGCTGCTCCTCATTAGCTGATTTATATTGGACGGAGACTGTGGAGGGACAGGTGATTGTGCTGGACTAGTTAGTGAACTTGTACCATGTGGAGGATATGGGTGAGGAATATGAAAAGAAGTTGGGGTGGGAGCGTGTATTGAAGCAGGTGATCTTATGGGCGCAGGAGACATTGACGAACACACAGAAGGTGGTGGTGTTGGTTGTTTCAAATTAGCAGGAGAATTTACACTTACAGATCCTGTGCTCAATGAATTCATATTTCCAGAAGGAGGCCAAATAGGTGGAGGAGGTGGTAATGATGTCTGGTGACGGGATGGTGGTCTGGAATTTACAGGTGAAACCATGTAGGAAGAACCTGGTGATGGTGTTGTTAATCCAATCATTTGCTGATGTTGTTGAGGTAGAACGTTACCAGATGTGTTTAGCTCGGTATTAGGGAACGTCAAACCCTGATTTGAAGGAGGCTAGGAATAAAAGATAAGTTAGCTTTAAACAAACATCGAATAACACAATTAAAGAAAAGTATCATACTAAGATGGCTTCTAAAAACGGATTATCTTAAAGGGTTCAATTAATTGACTCATAGTGCTAAATAAAATACTAAACTATTTTGCACAATGGAAAGTTGAGTGAAAGATACGTAAATTCTGTTTCAAGTAGTATCTGGAAACAATATCAACGTTGATGTAACTAAAAAAAACTGTGCTTACAGTTCACCAATGCAAACGACTTTGTATCATAAATGAAAAATCTGACCTTCCTTAGCCGAGGATAACTATGGATACTTTGTTCTATTAAAATTTATTAATTGATAACATGATTTTCAGTTGTATAAATTATATTCCTTTTTTACCGAGTGCCCTAATTGTTGGTGTCTTATTGTAACAAGCATTTTATGTACAATAATGATATTAAAATATTCAAGTTGGTTGATGAATCCTTAAAAAAGTATAAGCCCTATTCACTTCCTGAAATTAACGTTATCAGTGTAATAAAAAATTACAAATATTGATTAATTTCTAATTCTGGATATTTTAACAAGGGAAAATACCAGTCAGAAATTAAAAGATTAAACGATTCAGAAAAACAAGTCAAAACAAATCATTTCTTCACAGAAGGATGAATTTCCTCCATGATATTCTAAATACACCACAATCTATCAAATTTTCAATTGCTCCCTCAAAATAATTCCCCAATTGATGCAAATACGACAAGATTTGCACAAATGATGACATGTTTTATATTTTTAGATAAAAGAATATTGTTGTAAACAAACAAGTTACCTTGTTTATTGTTTGATGGTGAGCACCAACAGAATCACCACTACTATTACTACTCGAAGTCATATGCGACGACAGAATACGGTCCTGGACATAACTGTTGTTTGGAATTTCAGGAGTTAACGATCTATGCAGCTCTTTTGTCTGTTGCGGCGAGTTCGTATTCATTTGTTGTTCCGACTGAATATGATGAGGTGTACGATTTTGCGGATGCGTATAGGCTGTAGGAGATTCTATAGGATAAGATAACTCAGAACCAGATTGTAAAGGTATTGTTTGATTGACCAATGTACTAGGTTGGCAGTACGGCTGTGTAGGTGGTATTGTGTTAGAGAGCCCTATTGAGCCCATAGTTGTAGGTATATTCGTTTGATTTGAACGCAGTGTAGTTCGATTGTTACGAGCTTGTATCTGACATTAAAGCGAACAAATAAAGTTGATTTGATGATACACTGGTGAGTGAAAAGATGATAACGAAATGAAGAAAAACATGAACTAGAACACTACCCAAAATCAATACACTACTCACCACCCAAGTTCCACGTTCTTCACTAGAAAGTCTACGCCAAAGCTTGCTAATTTCTTTAGCACGAACAGTGAATTCAGGATACTGGCCACGCAGTGTAGGATGTGATATATTTGCATGCAACACTGGAGCAATTGTTGACTGACCACCTAGACGTTCATCTTCTTCCCATTTATGGTAATTAATACGTCTACTAGCTGAATTGGAAACGTTCGAATTTGAATTGGGCATACACAATTGTGTGTTGTTTGATGCTGTACAAGGTAAAATATTTTGTTGACTTGGTCGATTCAAAACAACATGATGGGTATTCCCTTCCATATTCGGTGATCTCATAGAATCTGAAATTAAAAAATAAGGATTAAATACTTAAAAAAAAATTAAACGGTGTACTGTTAAACAGCGCAAAACATTGAGTCGTCTACATGAATAAAACATATGAGGAAAGAAAATAGTATACACGTTCATCTATAAAAACAATAAATAGAAATCACTAAAGCCTCTATTTCACAGAAAAGCATAAATCATTCAAACGCATGCTGCGTTTCGTTCACCCCGACTAAAGATTCTTGACATCGTGTAACTCCTAAGCTTCAACTTTCTCGTGTAAATCAAATCAATAAACAAGTAATGGAGATGATAATAGTGGGAAATTTTATTCAAGGTATGTACTAAATGTATCACTACACAAGTAACGTAAGGAGTAAGAAATGAGATATATCTATTGTGAGCCGCTTAGCAACTTGAAAATTAAAATTAATACTTCAATCAATGATACGTAATATTATTCAGACACTATTATGTATACCTCTCATGATTTATATTCAATTTAGTTTTCACTGTATCATAAAATTAGTCCTGAAAAGTAATGTGTATATTAGAGATTGTGAAACATATCCACACACGCGCGTGTACAAAAACAAGTTAACCTTGATCAGTTGGAATTCTTAACTGAAAGTAGAGCACTGACTATGTGAAAAACAATAATATATATCCAAACTAGCTGAAGATTCAGTTCTATACTATTATATCTAACTCACATTTTTAGTATGTAAAAAAGTCAAAATTGAAAATAACCGACACATGGTTAAAAAAATCTCTATTTTCTCAACCACTTTTATCTAATGCGGACTAGTTTTAAATTACCAAAATTACATGTTATCCCACTATTCTAAAAATATGAATGATTCCTTTATTATTAAAGTTCAAATTAACGAATTTGTGTACTTAAAATGTTGTTTAAAACAAATAGTATAACTTACTGGGACTAATTACATTATTAGGATTTTGAAGTTCAGTGGAACATCTTAAAATCACCTCCTCAGAACCACTGTTAAAACGAAGAACTCCAGGAGACAGAGAGTTAGGATGACCTGTAAACTGACGAGAATTAGGTGAAGTGATATGATCAGTTTGATAAACATGAACAGGTTGGTTGTGCAATCCAACCTGACCATGTACAATCATTTGCTGTGTTGATGGAGTTCGTTGAGGTCCATTTGAGCCATGCATAGGATGAGATACACATGGACGTTGTATATATTCAATTTGAGTGCTCTGTTGACAACAAACTGGAATAAGATGCTGAGTATCCATAGGTACATTTGACTGTGGAGATGACATAAGTAACTGTGCTGAATTCGAACCTTGAGGAACTAGACATTGTCCAGTTGCAGAAAGCATAATAGCTCCTGGATTAGATGAAATTAAACGAGAATGAGATTGCTGTTGTTGTTGTTGTTGTGGCCATATACCAGGTCTTATTACTTGAGAAGGATATGGTGGTGGAGGTGGAGGAGTCATTGGGTTAGGAGATTTGGGTTGAAGAGGTTGTGAAATGAATTTTCCATGACTACTAACCACTGAAAGATGTTGTGGTGATTGCGGAACTGGACTTTGCAAAACAATAGGAGAACTGGACTGACGTTGAAGTTGCTGATGTTGCTTTTGAGGTTGAGTTAAAACACGTCCAGGAACAGGAACAACATGAGCATAAAAGTATGAAGGTTGTGAACTCCTTATCTGTACTCGACCACCTAAAAAATAAAATGAAGAATGTCTGCAATATAACTAATGTTTGCTGATCGCTGTAACTAAATTACAAATGACATAGTTCAAATAACTATATATATACCCCAAGATCTACTACAACAATACACAATGAATATGAAGAAAGTAAAACGAACGACTCACTTTGAGGATCTATATGCTGTTGTTGCATAGGTCGAACCTGACTTTGAGGAACTGGAACCGTCACAAGAGAAGAGCGAGGAATCTGATGTTGTTGAACATTGATGGACTGGTTGCTTGGTTGATATTCCCTGCACTGATCTACAGGACGCTGAGAATAAGACTGACGAACTGAATCAGGATTAGGATGAACTACGTTTGGCCGTTGTTGTGCCATGCGCTGAATAGATATTTCGGAAGGTGGAGGTGTAGTACTCAACTCATTGCTAAATACAGCATTTGGTATAATTGATTTTGGACTGTCGTCAGCCAAATTGGGTTCACTAAGTTCAAAACCAGTTGAAGGTCCAAGTTGCGTTTCAATATCACTAACTGATAACTCAGGTAGATTACCGGTAAGCGTGTTTACACAATGTCGTGGATGAGGTCCAGGTACATTTTGCGAGGATCCAAGATCATGACCATTAGTATCACGAGGCGGCATATCATAAGCATTTAAGATTGTATTGTTTGGAGGGCATACGTCGACAGTATCGACTAGCTGATTCAAGGACCCTTCGGAAGAATCATGGACTGATTGTGGTCCAGTTTTACGGGTCTACTCATACAGAAAAAAAGATAAACCAAAAGATAAGTGAATAATCTGGCAAATATTTTGAAGGGATACTCATCGAAAATTGATCTTAAAAACTCTCTAGTGGTTTGAAGAATAAAACTGGCTAACCCACCTGTTGATCCTGAATAACTAGATGAGATTGTTGCGATTCTGGATGAACAGTACGTTGCATATTGCGAGGATGCTGCTCTTCAACCATCTGAAGATAAGTTGTGGATGAATGACCTATATATGGTGACTTCGGATAATGAGGTTTGTTAGCAGGGCCAAGATGAGTTTGTTGACTTTGATTGTCGAAAGGCGAACTTATTAAATCTTGTTGTGCGACGAACTGCTTCAAACACATCCCTTCTGAGTTAGTAGACTCTTCCATTCTGAAAGGCTCCGAAACCTGTGACTGGTAGACAATTTTGTTAGAAATGACGAATCTTTCAGACGACTGTATATTTTGATTGTTTTGAGAATATATGAAAGACACATGACCTGGACTTTCGCTTGATACCGTTTGTTTCAACTGGTTCTTTGAATGACCCACTGGTAAAGGACTTGGAGCTTGTAATTGATCTGTTACATGATCTGCAGATACTTGTTGAGGGGTTATATCGTTTAAGTCAGTTTCATCTGTAGAAGCCAAATCGCTAAATCCAAATAAGTAATCATCCATAAACATAAGATCCGCGGCTTCATTTAAACCTGGTAATGATAAGTGAAAAGAAATTAAGCCCCACGATCATTTATAACAAGCAAATGAATTGCATCTTTTGGACATTAACCGCAACATTTATTTAAATAAGAATCCAAGTTATGGAAATGAATAATCAATTACTAGATGCATAATTCATTCAAAATTGAACAGACATGATATACTGATATTAACTATACGCATATATGTAGAACATATCTTCAGAAAAATAATAAGTACATCATAACCGTCCAAAACACAGAAACAGAGTTTTCAGTATAAATCTTATCGTTGATGATCTAAAAGGGGAATATTACAGTTCAGAATTTAGGGTCATCAATGTAGTGGCAATCTGCAATACATCGCTACTGAACTTATGAATTTTTGTAGTTCTTTACAAAAGCTAAGAGAGATTGCATATTTAAAATGCTGAATTTGTAATGAAAAAATACTGAATGGACAGTATATACGGTTGCACACTCTACAGTTTTTCACTAAATGATGGCTTGATTACTTGAAGAGCTTGTCTTTCAGCCATTTGGTTTCATGATAGGACAGTCACGTACAAGCACCAGCTTACTCAACATAAAGTGTGACTCCACGCAAAGCAAAAGGGATCTGAATAAAATTAAATTCAGTTACATTATGTTCATATATAAGAATCTAAAAGATGCAGAAATATTGAACCGATGAGTCCAAAATTGGACCAAACCAGTACTTTCACCAAAATTACTTTATACAAATATGTTTTCACAAAAAATGAATATTTGATGAATAATAGTACTATTTGGGACTTTATCAGATCTATTGACGCACCAACCAACAAATGGACTTACAAATGCAGAGAAGTAGATATCAAGGGGGAAAATGAGGTGTCATTGAAAATTTTACCTTACTGAATAATTGTTAATCATAATCGATCAATCCAACGAAAGTATTATTAGAAACTATTAGATCTAAAGAAATTATAAAACAACCATTCTATGACCTATTAAGTGCTATCATTAACTTAAAAACTCACCCGCTGGCGTAGTAGCTTGTGTAACAGAATTAGCATTTTGCCCCACCAAGCTAGTTGTCACAGATAATTCCGTTGACTGTTCCTGGGGCGACTGAGCAGACAACAAATCAATATGAGGACTGAGTTCTTTATTTGATGAATGAACAACACTTGCAACACGAGCTGTTTCAGCTGATACAGTATCAACAGAAGGATCCAAAGAACTAACCAGATTTTGTGATTTCGGACTGAATTGACTGACACTCACTGGAGTTATGCAATAGTTATCTTGTGAATTAGAATTAACTGGTGGACAAGTTCTAGACGACACAGTTTGGTTGTCATTATAGTCAACTACAGAAAGTTCACGAGAAACACTTTCATCTACACTAACATTTTCGGTATTATCTTTTTGAGTTTTTAGTATATCTGTATCAGTAGAGCTTTCAGTCATTTTTATCTCCGACACTCTTTCAGTTAATTGATGAGCAGCGGGATTCAGTGTAGCTGACAGATCTTCTTCTTCAATGTCTAACGCTTCATTGTCCATTTCATCTTCTAGATCTTTGAGTTCATCAAAATCGCATAGATCTCCATCAACGTCATCATCCTCTTCATATTCTTCATCACCCTCATCAATATCGTCGTCTTCATCCATTTCTTCAGTACCGATTTCAAACTCTTCATCCCTTGAACCTGACTCTGTCCATTCTCCATCTAAACTATAATCATCTGATTTAGTTCGATTTCCAAGACGGGCAACATTACACTTTTTTATGTGTGCTCCACCCTAAAAATAGAAAAAAATATACGTATCGACAAAATAAACATCTACTATATTTATTTATTTGAGCACATAAACATTGGTACAGGGGGGACCAAATACATATGCTCCACACAATGACAATGAGGTTGTGAAAAGTTGGAGGATGTAAAGTGCGTATAAGAAAAGAAGGACAACAACGTAAAGAAAGTGTATGACAGTGAAGTAATAATAATAATAATAATAATAATAATAATAATAATAATAATAATAATAATAATAATAATAATAATAATAATAATAATAATAGAAACAGTTCAAATAGAAAAATTGTAACCAGAAAGAACTCTTGAAACTGAAACAGTTACAATCATTTTTTATGAGGAAAATAAAAGAAAGTTACAGCAGGATCGCCACTGGATTCTAATCTGAGCCATATCTGATAACGTCTCTAGCCACTGTGTTACACCATCTCTCGGAGCCCAGCCAGGGAGTCGAGAAGGACCAACAGAAGCCAGCTCCTTGCAGCTTTCTTTCACACCACGACACCATTTCGTACACTGACCACCTCTCCGCTTTTTCCAACCAATCACAGCGTCCCCAAATAATGCACGACGTGAAATTCTCTGAGACGACATTCGTAGAACATGTCCGAGTCACCGAAGTCGATGTTTCAAGAAACTGACATCAATTGAATTATCGCCACTAAGCACGAACACACGATGCCGAACCTCTGCATTACTAACATGGTGTTGCGACTCGATGTCAGCAATCCTTCGGACAGCGAGGATTGAACACAGAGAGTCGTCTGACATCCTGAACTCAGAGAGGCCAGGTTTAACAAGCACAAAGCAAAACCGTGTCACCGATACGTTGTAGATCTGACCTTTAACAACCAGATTGACTTCACGAAGGCACCAAATATGGCTCACATCAACATAAGCCACTCTGGCCCTCACTACGAGTGGATTCATCATAAAGCAAACGCCACCACCAGCACTTACGCAGCTACACCGATACACAAAGTACTCGATTATCAGCCGCTCAATAACCAGGGTGAGTACGGGATTAGAATTCTTCCTGTCTTGTAAAAGTACTTTCATCTTAGAACGTGCAAGCAAAGCACATATCATACCTACGGACACTGACTGTCAACTGACTAAGTGCGGATTGCATGGCTTGGGTATCATCGCAAAGTAAGACAATATCATAAGCATAAACAAGTCATATAAACCTGGTGATTTGTGGTGCTTCAGGAGTTGAAGTTCTTTGCGGACTTCCGCCGCTTTAGGTAGATAAGTCGTCACAGGTTGTGGAGGGAAGGACAGTCTTGATCAATGTTGTCGCGGGGCAGCAGACCAATTGAACCGCCTCTCGAAAACCTCTACCCATCGTCTAAGACGTCGGTAAATGTTATCGATTGGCATCCCATCAGCTTCAAAGATTGTCCCATTCACATCTGACTTCTTGCTGCTAGCGACTCGGATGAGTTGAAAGAGCTTAAGACAGTTACCATATCCAGCTGCTGCTTCCAACTCATTGGCACGCTTTGACCACCAGGCTTCTCGGTCATTACGCAATCATTGCACAATTTTATTGCGTAACAATCTCCGTTTACGGTCAAACTCGCGGTCACCCGGAGTAAACCGATGGGCTCCAACGAGTTGTAAGGAGCCTGAAGAAACCCAGTGCTTATAAACAGGATGTTGCATGAAGCCACAAGCGACTTTACTCGCCATTTTCATGGCGTCGTGCAATTGCAGCCAATGCTCATCTATACTTTTCGGTGGGTTGCTGGCTAACCTTGAACCTAGTCTTTTACACAACCACTTCAGCGGTAGCTGGTCGTGATGTGATCAATCTGAGTTCAGACTTGAGATGCAAATGAAGGACACTAGGTAACACGTCGACGATGACTGTGTCGGTAGTTAGTGCTAGCCAGAAACAGGTTGTAGTATGCTCACAGTTGCAGTAGACGGTCACCGTTATCTGACCTGCGACCAACAAGTCTTCAATGCCCACCGAAACAACTCTCCTCTGTGCGCATTCAAGTCTCCGGCTAGTACTATATTATCTGTTAAACGCACTTTCTGTAGAAGAACAGTTAATTAGTAGTTTAACTCATCATTGATCGCATCCGGTTTGCAATTTGCCGGAGCGTAGGTGAATATGACAAAAAGACATCGTCTCTCACACCGATTTCTCCGTGCTTTGATGGGAATTTCTAATCCAACAGCCCGTAACGGACTGTTAATGAGGATCCAATCGATCAGTGCTGCCTCAGCTCTAGCACTTAATGCAACAGTAACGCCAGAGCAACCAGACGAAGATGCCATAGAGTCCCCGGATAAACGCACGTTAAACAAGCTTTTCGAAGCGACAGATGGAGGGCGAATTTGTGGTATGTCACGAGTCTTGAATACCGGTCTCTAAAAACATAGCTAACTCTATCTGTTTTCCAATCTGTGAGAACGTTGAAAGAAGCCAGTTTGAATGGTACATGTGGTTTCAGAAAGACTGTTACAGTATTCGTATTCGGTGGCAGCATGCAAATTTCAACCAGTCAGTGACTCGAGATCGTTTAGATAGGACAGGGTTTCCACCATAGGCGAACTGGGGTATAAGTTGATAAATACGAATACACAAATTGAGAATAAAAGAAAGTAGATAAGTGAAATAGTACAAAAAAACAAAAACGAATGTAAATACGATTGTGAATAAAATTGGCTTGAGAAAGCGTTGAAGCAAGAGACATTTTCCCAGTCGTAGTTAACAATAATTTTTGTAAGGGCTTTTGATACTGCCCGGTTGCCCAAACCGAAGCAGCATCCACTATATTATTTACTAATGCAATCAAATAAACGACAAACTAAAATTTTATTACTGACTGCTTACTTTAGTTAGTTTAGAAGTACGAACAGAAAGAGTAAATCCACCTTTGTTCTGTTTAATTCCACTTACAGACTCAGATCCAATTGTAGGTTCCTGTGATGAGCCAATTGGACGTATGCGCTTTTTCTTCCTTAGTGGTTTTCTCTTAGCGGAAAGCAGACATGCCCCATAAAAAGCTTTCATTAAATAGTTAGGATAGTGGTCTTCCAATTCGGATTTCTTCTTGTTCTGACGTCTACGTTTGTTGTCGGACGTCGGACCAACAAACTGATCAGATGCGGCTGCAAGCTGTATTTTTTTAGTCTATATTTAAGATGAAAGAATGGAAAACTTAGTTCAGTCAAGTCGAATTACGTAACAATAATAAAACCTACAGAAACTAAGATTTATATATTAATTTAAACGGAAATACTGGCACAAAGGAGCACCAAAATATATGTGCCCCTCACCCAGAAACTCAAAAAGGGAATATTCAGTAAAAGAAGACATACTTGCAACCAACGATTGGGTTTAGCTCGAAAGCCTCCAATACCAAGATTTTTTAGTGGTCGATTACGATTAGAATTGTTTGTGGTGGTTTTCCCGTTAACTGATATAGGACCAGCAGAACTATTACGACTGATGCATAATGAAGTACGCTAAATAAATAAGAAAGATTTTCTTTAAAAGTTAGAGAATGGAACATCATATAGACAAGACAGGTTTTCACTTTAAACGTTTTATCAGTTGACATGAGAAATTTGAAAATAGTTTACATCCATGATGTTTAAGTAAATCTCCTATCAGTACCTAGGATATTATATACACACTGATGATTTGAAGCAGTAAGTTTGGAAACTAGTTCCAGGCCTTTTAATAAGCAATTTAAGAGCATCTAGAACTTTCCCCATGATTAATACAAAACATAAGTGTACATTAATTTCAGTAAACGATTACTATAAATTAATGGAATATAAAATGACGAGTTGACTAGTTGATTGAAATATCAAGTGTTATTTTTTTTATCAATTTCATACATTATCCACCATAGATAGGAATGATAGAATATTAAATAAAATCCATTCTCAGCAAAGCTCTCTATTAGGAATAGTGAAATGGCTAATCATCGTATAAAATCTCAAATTCGTATGGCACATTAGAGAAAATTTGTGTCAGAAGGACAAATCCGTTAAAATTTTATAGATTGAAATCACTAGAAAAGAAATTATTAGCATTCAGTTGATGACTATTTGAAAACCATCAATCAAAAATAAACAGATCAATAAATGAAGGCACAAATGCATAAAACTTCGCCTGTAGCTCTTCCAGAGTTACTCCCGGTCCCAAGCCGGGATAAATGGGGAGGGTTGGGCATGGGCTGAGCGACCCCATCCCGTAGAAAACTAACTCGCCAAAAAAACGCTGACCAGAAAAAATAATTCAACAAATATACAGATACAAAAGAGTATAAAAGTGAAAGTTTTAATTAAATAAAGAAACTCCATGTAATCAGGAAAACGATGCGTGAGAAAAGCGAAATACCAGAAAAACCGAAAATACCACTAAGTGGAACCTTAATCTAAAAGTTGATCACTGTACATAAATTCATGTCAAATTAATAGATTTGAACAAAATTAGTAACAGGATGAACAAGATAAAAATAAAACGAAACAACACAATTAATCGATCAAACCTTATTTCTAATGAAGATTCGTCTAGTCTGAAAAAGTTATTAATAAAAGACTTCCTACAAACAAGTAAATATTATGACGGTCAACATTACCATAAGTAAAAGATACTAGGCTGGGAAATGTGACAAATAATACGGTTTAAATCTGTGACAGTTTAATAAGATATACGATGGACAATAATTATTCAATAATCCGAAGGCAAGTGCTTACTCAGATGAGGTTAACAAGATAAATAGATAACAACAAAAATCATGCAGTTTGATTTCATAATAAATATGTAACTTCTTTAACGTATACATATGTTCGTAATGGGCTTCCAGATACATTTTTTGTTCAAGGACTAACGATACTGTCCGGCTACGCAAAGCGAAGTAAATCTTTAAACCAGTGACCTAGTGATTAAAATGCGAATGTCCTAACCACTAAGTCAGTCATCAGTCATCTACAACACAGGACCAGGCACATATATGCATCAGTCCAAATTGCCACATCTCATTAGCACAACAAGAACACCAAATTCATAGAAGTATTTACCTCAATGGTAGTAATATATAAAAGAATGATTGCGTATAAGGATATAATACAGGAAGAACGAATTAGTTCGTAGAATTAAAGGTGCAAAGTAATTTTAATCTCACAGTTTAAGAGAGGACAAAGAGTGTATACACTGACGCTATTGTGATCGATTCTGAGCCATATCACCCACATTCTCCAACCATTAGTTACGACAGTCACGTGGATCCCAACCAAGTGGTTTGCATCTACCAACATGGCTCAGACCAGAAGTTGGTGGCTTTGTGGATTGATACCACGTTTTGGTTTGACCACCCCTAACTCCCCTCCATCCGTCCCCAACACTAGTCAGCATTGTGCGCTGTGGTAGTCCGTGGTTGGGCATGCGTAATATGTGGACCAACCTATCTTAGTCGATGTAGATTTACAACCTCATCAACGCATTTACCATTATTCCCTAATAACCTCACCATTACTTACTTATCCTAATGACTAAATCCACCCTTCTATACCAGGTAAAACTGAAGTCATTAAGAATTAGACATTTCTATGTAGTTTTATTCTCTAAGCTGGACGGTTTGGTCATGGAGCTTTCACTGTTATTCTGGACGACATCAGCACAAACCTTAGGTAGAAGCCCTACCTGAAGTTTTGGCTGATGATGTCGTTTAGAATAAAGGTGAAAGCTCCACGACCAAACCATCCCGCTCAAAGAACAAAACTCCATTAAGATCATCCACCTGAGCTACAAATCCTCTCTAACATCTCAGAATTGAACATCCTATGAGAAAATCATCTTGTATGCTTACCTAAGAAAATCAAGAAGATACACACAGGAATGTTACTAAACAGTACAACACTTCGCTCTGTAATCCATAAACTCTTATTCTAAAACCACGAGTGAATTTTTCTGAAAATAAGACGTAATTATGAAAATCGCTATTGTAAAAATTAATTTTAAAGAAACTATCATCACATTTCCAGTTGATCACGGGGATTACCAGAAAAATTTCAGTGTTTCAATAAAATCTATACATATCGAGATCACGTACTCCATTTTTACTACGATTATCAATATTATCAACGTTTTAACCAGCGTATTTGCTGATATCGAGTAAACGCATCAAATGCTTACTGGTCTAACTAAACTAATTATATATAATTTTGTACAGGTCAACTGAATAGCTATAAATTTAGGAAGAAAATTATTGAAACTACAGATGAGCAGTAGTAATTGATGGGATAAAAAATGGAGAAAATATTAGAATAAATTCAGTGATTTAGCACAACAACAAAGCAAAAATTAATGTCCCAAGCAGGACAAATAATTTACGCGATTCAATATTATGTACCTACAATAACGAATTTAATTAATAATAACAGCTAACATTCAAGTCCCACAACAAAAGTAAGTCGAGCATTAATTCCATAAACATTTAAAATGAATATTAATTTTTGACTAGTATAACTAACTGTGCCATCTTGTATTGAATTACAGCCATCTTCTTCTGATTGTAGGCTGGGAGATTTCCAATCAGGATAATTGGATAGATCATTTTCTCCATCAACTCCAGAATGTAGTGAAGCATCTTCATCAAACTAAAACATCCATAAGAGGATAAAATATTATTGAAGGTATCAAGAAAAAAAAAGTAATATGTGATAACTAAACATGAGTAGTAGTTTGCGTGCATATAAAATTTAGGAACAAACCTATTGGTACATCATTAAACCAATAAAAACTTGGTTCATTAGAAAAGAGTTGAAGTTATTCAGCAATGATAATTCTTCTTAAGATGAAAAGATATTGTAGCGAAGAATACTGCAAGAGAATTCATCTCACATGAACATATTCTTTAATAACTTTAATCGGGTCACAATGTGTTTGATAAGCCAAAAACACTAAAGCAATCGTAAATGAATTTTCAGTTTTTAATAATAGTTCAACGAGAACATACATCAAAACCCTAACAGAGTATGATAAAGTTTAGGTAGTTTAGGTTCAATAAGTTACACTTTTGTGTTGGGAACGAAGTGAAAAATAAAGGTTATCAGAAAAGTACAAGTTTAAGGCGATGCTAAAGAGTACAAAATGATGATATTGTGGTGTGGGTTATTTATATCCATATAAGTAGTATATAACTGTGGTCAGGCATAGAATGTATTTCAGTAAAAGATCGAGAAGGAGCGAACGGAAACGGAACGCGATTGGTATGAAAATGCATGAACAATGAAGTCTGAGATAATGGACTGACATTTGCAAAAGGAACAGTCAAGTTTGAGACGATGGATTGATATTTTGCAAATTAACTATTTACTATATGGTTCTCAGATTTTAGTGAGATGCTCTGTAATTTCGTGTCAAATACATTCGATTGTTCCCACTCATGCTCTTGTTCACTACAATACCAACCAAATAGGAAAGTCTAGGAACCTAAGAAGGCTTGGGTTTTACAGTAAAATCTTTCTCGGTTTCATATCATATACTAAGTTTAATTAACTAATGGTTAAGTGCTCGCGCGCGAAGCCAGTAGGTCCTGGGTTCGAGCCCCGGGTGGTGCGGGGTCGTGGATGCGCACTGCTGAGGAGTTCCATACTAGGACGAAAAGGCCATCCAGTGCTTCCAGGTTTTCAATGGTGGTCTAGCTTCAACTGACTCATGAGTTCAATCTGTGAAAATTTCTAAAAATCTCCACAAAACACATTTTGATAATAATAATAATATAAGACAAAAATATACTGGAAGTAATGGTCTAATAACACACAGAAAAATTGGTGTGAAAAGATACAAACCCAACCATGATGTTAATGTTTGTAAAACTCATTTCCCAATTTGAAGACAGTGATTCCAATAAGTAATAGTAAAGATTTTAGGATAGTTAGACTTAAAGAAAATTAAGAAATTTTCTGTATTCAACCTATTAAAACAAGCAGATCCCAAACTCACCTGTCCATGAGGTCCGCATGGAGTTAGTTCAACTGGAGTACTATCACCAACGGAACAAGCTAGAAGTAAACAAAAGTACATTTGAATGTAATCAGGGATAAAACGGGAGAAATATTAATTTCCATCGAAAAACTTTTTAAAGGATTATATAGTAAAAAATTCAACAATTATCTATGATTATCCAAGAAAAATAGCTAACATAAACAACAGTGATTCCATTTGAATAAATAAATCCCACATGTCATAAAATAAAAAGCTCGCTAGATACGATTTTGCACAGCAGAACTATTAACATGACACGGTTTCTAATCCAACCATATTAAAATATCGCATACAACAATGTTTTCTGACAAAGACAAATTGATTACTGAAATTCGTATCTTGTTTAACACAAGACTGATTAACTTACATTTACTGCAACAATAAAACCTCGACGGTAATACCTGTTACTTTAACAAACACTTGCAAACGTTGAGTTAAGGACACCAACCCAAAACTATTGTATCATTACATGATATTATAATACCTCTATCCAAGTCTGCTTTTGCTAGCCTTACTGTTGCATTAAGTGCTAGAGCTGAGGCAGCACTGATCGATTGGATCCTCATTAACAGTCCGTTACGGGCTGTTGGATTAGAAATTCCCATCAAAGCACGGAGAAATCGGTGTGAGAGACGATGTCTTTTTGTCATATTCACCTACGCTCCGGCAAATTGCAAACCGGATGCGATCAATGATGAGTTAAACTACTAATTAACTGTTCTTCTACAGAAAGTGCGTTTAACAGATAATATAGTACTAGCCGGAGACTTGAATGCGCACAGAGGAGAGTTGTTTCGGTGGGCATTGAAGACTTGTTGGTCGCAGGTCAGATAACGGTGACCGTCTACTGCAACTGTGAGCATACTACAACCTGTTTCTGGCTAGCACTAACTACCGACACAGTCATCGTCGACGTGTTACCTAGTGTCCTTCATTTGCATCTCAAGTCTGAACTCAGATTGATCACATCACGACCAGCTACCGCTGAAGTGGTTGTGTAAAAGACTAGGTTCAAGGTTAGCCAGCAACCCACCGAAAAGTATAGATGAGCATTGGCTGCAATTGCACGACGCCATGAAAATGGCGAGTAAAGTCGCTTGTGGCTTCATGCAACATCCTGTTTATAAGCACTGGGTTTCTTCAGGCTCCTTACAACTCGTTGGAGCCCATCGGTTTACTCCGGGTGACCGCGAGTTTGACCGTAAACGGAGATTGTTACGCAATAAAATTGTGCAATGATTGCGTAATGACCGAGAAGCCTGGTGGTCAAAGCGTGCCAATGAGTTGGAAGCAGCAGCTGGATATGGTAACTGTCTTAAGCTCTTTCAACTCATCCGAGTCGCTAGCAGCAAGAAGTCAGATGTGAATGGGACAATCTTTGAAGCTGATGGGATGCCAATCGATAACATTTACCGACGTCTTAGACGATGGGTAGAGGTTTTCGAGAGGCAGTTCAATTGGTCTGCTGCCCCGCGACAACATTGATCAAGACTGTCCTTCCCTCCACAACCTGTGACGACTTATCTACCTAAAGCGGCGGAAGTCCGCAAAGAACTTCAACTCCTGAAGCACCACAAATCACCAGGTTCAGATGACTTACCTCGGGCCCTTTATAAGGATGTTGGTGACTTTCTGGTTAAGGAACTGACCGAGTTGTTTACAAACACCTGGCACTTAGAATATTGCAACTTTGTGCTAAACATTTTCGTTTATCCGGTTCAAAAGATGGTACTTCCTCAACTCTGACTAACAACACATTGCACTGATCAATTATTTATCAGGTAGAAAACTGAGTTTTAAAAATTCGATGTTACAGTAGGGAAAATATCTACAATATATTATTGGAAAATGGTATGTAAATTTTATCCTTCAGAAACAATTAGTCAACTTAGTAACCAGCTGGTTACCGCATAACATGAAATCAATTATAGTTAAATATTGTTTCCACACAAAAAATAACCGGCATAGAAATATTTAGAACTATTATAACTCACATCCTGTATCAGTGACTGATTGGTTCTGTTGATCTGATAGACGTTTTTGATTTGTATGACGTTTCGGTTGAATTTTAAGTAGAGCTTGTTTAATGGTATTCAAGCCACATTCACTTAGTACAACACCATCCATGAAAAATTGACTAAAAATTTATAAATTAAATTAAATTGAATAATAGAGTGAAATAAAAACATTTGTAAGTTTATCTATTAAAATCAATAATTAAACCTGAGACGATAAAAAAAAGAAATTATGTACCTACCGAGTGTCACTTGAACTATTGTCATCATCTGCTTGTGAACGCGTTAAACATGCAACTCCAGTGGAAGAGTATGGGAATAATGAAGACGGCTAAATAAAGTGGAAAAAATAAGCACGAAAACATAAATAGTTTAATATGAATAGTCTAATTTTACACTTTGTATTGCAAACTGTGACCGAATGATATGTTTGTGCGCTAAGCTACTATTCAGCAACTTCAACATGGTGAACGATACTACTTCTACCCTCCCCTTCACAGTCTTACTAACTAGAGTAAGCAGTTTGGTTGTTCGTTCTCGTCGAGGATGTATTGATCATATCTTCACCCTCCGCCAAATGTTAGAACACCGCCATACTTATCAAAGGCCAACAACCGTAGTGTTTCTTGACATCAGGGCTGCCTTCGATTCGTTGGATAGGACTGTTCTCTGGGATTGTCTATTGAAGAAGGGTGTGCCTGAGAAGTTTATTAACATCCTAAAAGCCCTATATAAAAACACCTCAGGCAGACTGAGGGCATACAACCACCTTTCTCCATTGTTCCATTCGAGCAGTGGGGTTAGACAGGGTTGCACAATCTCACCATTTCTCTTCAACTTTGTCATCAACGACATTCTGGAAACAGCTCTGATGGATGTAAGTAATGGCGGTGTGGATCTGTTGCCTGGAGAAAAACTTCTCGACCTTGAGTATGCGGATGATATTGTCTTACTGTGCGATAATGCCCAAGGCATGCAATCCGCACTTAATCAGTCGGCAATCAGTGTCCGTAGGTATGGTATGTGCTCTGCACCTTCGAAGTGCAAAGTATTTCTACAAGACTGGCAGGATTCGAATCCTGTACTCACCCTGGATGGTGAGCAGATAGAAGCAGTCGAGAAGTTCGTGTATCTAGGTAGCGATATAAGTGCCGGTGCTGGCGTGAGTAATGAGATCAATTCACGTATAGTGAAAGCCAGAGCGGCTTATGCCAATTTGGGCCATCTTCGCTGCTTTCGTGATGATAGTCTGGCTGTAAAACTTCGGATCTACAACGCGTCAGTGAAAGCAGTTTTGCCTTATGCTTATGAAATCTGGCCTCTCCGAGTTGAGGACATTAGACGACTCTCTGTGTTCGATCATCGTTGTCTCCGAAGGATTGCTGACATCGAGTCGCAACACCATGTTAGTAATGCAGAGGTTCGGCATCGTGTGTTCGTGCTTAGTGGCGATAATTCAATTGATGTCAGTTTCTTGAAACATCGACTTCGGTGACTCGGACATGTTCTACGAATGTCGTCTCAGAGAATTTCACGTCGTGCATTATTTGGGGACGCTGTGATTGGTTGGAAAAAGCGGAGAGGTGGTCAGTGTACGAAATGGTGTCGTGGTGTGAAAGAAAGCTGCAAGGAGCTGGCTTCTGTTGGTCCTTCTCGACTCCCTGGCTGGGCTCCGAGAGATGGTGTAACACAGTGGCTAGAGACGTTATCAGATATGGCTCAGATTAGAATCCAGTGGCGATCCTGCTGTAACCTTTTACTTTCTTCATAAAAAGTGGTTGTGTCTCCCTTACCTGAAAGATTTCTTCCGATTGTACCTTTCCGTTCCCTCATTACTACCACACTACCTCACACCAATCTCTTCGTTATTGTCCTCTTTTTTTGCGCTCCTTAGCTTTTTTTTCTATTTCTCTTCGAATTCTCATTGTTTTGTGTGGCGCATTTATATTGGCGCTCTCTTGTACCAATATTCATGTGTTCAAATAAATAAAGAAATAAAGAAATCGGTTGTTGTATAGAAGCTTTGTTGATCAACACGTAGTAAGATTCGAAATACTTTAAAGATAACCAGTTATCAAACGTTACTATACTTTAACAACTTAGTAACTGCCAATAAACACAAATCGTAGTGAAAAATCCGTGGAAAGTTCATGAACAGAATTCATACTGTAACAAAAACTTAAATTGATATTAATTTGTATTTGAGGATTTCACATCCCTTACACTTAACGATTGAGAACATATGTTTAGCCAACCACGCTCTAAACTACACGTAGGAGCTTTAAAAGTTCGAACACTGCCAAATAGGACAACAAGATTCCTTAATTAGGATTCTAGAATCTCGCGCCATCGATGTGTGCTGCGTCTCCGAAACGCGCACACAGGATCCGAATAGCGTCATTCATTTGACATCACCATATCAAAATAAAAAACCAACTCGATTCACGCTCCATGTATCTGGAAGCCCTGATGCTGCTTCCTGTGGCCTCGCTGGCGTAGGTATAGCATTGAGTCCTAGGGCAGAACTAGCTCTCTTAAACTGGATCCCAGTAGACAGTCGTTTATGCGCTGTCCGACTAAACGGAACAGTAAGGACTCGGAAAGATAGGGACACTTGTCGTCGTTGCCTACTCTCTCATTGACTGCAGCCCAGATGATGTAAAAGATGAGTTTTACAGAAAGCTGATGACTTTAATGCCCAAGTAGGTAAACTAAGCGGAAAGGAAAGACATCTAGGTGGATCTTATGGTGTCGTGGCTCAAAGAACAGATAATGGCGACCGTCTGTTGCAGTTATGCTCAGATAACCGCCTCTTTCTTGCAAATACTAACTTTAATCATAAGGAAAATCATCTTTTGACATAACGACCCCCAAATACGTCCCAAAGAAGTACATTAACCTTATATAGGCTCTCTGCCCAAACACAACTGGTCGAGTGATAGCTTATGGCGAACTGTCATCAGAATTGATTACCTCAAGTGATGTTCGTCAGGGCTGTTCACTTTCTCCATTCTTGTTCCACTTTGTGGTCGACGTACTTTTAGAGATGACACTTTCCTCATCTAAATTTCCAGGAGTTGAACTTCCACCAGGATATTCACTTGTTGACTTAGAATATGCCGATGACATAGTTCTATTTGGTGAAGACTCTGACAAAATGCAGAGTCTTCTGACCACTCTAAGCAACAATGCAAGCATGTTCGGCATGCGATTCTCCCCATCCAAATGCAAAATGTTGCTTCAGGATTGGGTTGCATCGACACCCGAACTAATGATAAGGAGTGAAGTAGTTGAGCGTGTCGACCGCTTGACATATCTTGGAAGTCTCATCAACCGTTGTGGTCTGGTGTGTGACGAAATCTCAGCACGGATACAGAAGGCTCGACTAGCTTTTGCCAACTTGCCTCATTTATGGCGTAGGCGAGATATCCGTCTACCAACTAAAGGACGGTTTTCCTGCGCAGCAGTTCGTTCCGTCCTTCTTTATGGCAGTAAAACATGGACGGTAAGAGTAAAGGATATTCGTAGGTTACTAGTATTCGATCATAGGTAACCTCGAAACATTGCTCGTATATCCTGGGACCATCGAGTAAGTAATGCAGTCGTTGGGAAACGGGTACTAGGTAAGGATGGCGAATCAATTGAAGTAGTAAAACTTCATCAGTTGAGATAGCTGGAATATGTGTTACGTATGCCCAACCACCGACTGTCCTGACGAGAGATGTTTTCTCGTGTAGGAGTAGGTTGGAAGAAAGCTAGGGGCGGTCAGACCAGAACATGGCACAAACCCATGAAGTCACTGACAAGTGGACTGAGTCATGTTGGTAGGTGTAGACTAGGTGGTTGGGATCCACAAGGTGATAGCAACCGATGGTTAGAGACCTTGAATGACATGGCTCAAAATCGTTTGCGATGGCTCAGGTGCATTTACTCTGTGTTCTTCCTAATTTTAATCTTCTGAATTCTTCATGTCCCTTCTTTCTCTTTCCAAATTTATTTCACTGAATTATACTCCTTGAATAACATCTTCAAACCCTAATCTTTCCGAGTACGGCTTATACTTTTACTACCTATACCACTACGGGATTTGAATCGACAATTGTATTTGTGTGCTAATGTGGTATGGCAACTCGAACTGATGTACGTACGTACGAAGTTCTACGATGTTGCCGACTGACTAATCTAACGAGCACAGTTGTTAGGTTACCAGAACTTTAAATTGATATCACTGACATGGGTAAAGAAAGGTTTGGACAAATTCCTCTTACTGAATTCTTTAGAATTGGGTTCAGATTATAAAATAAAACGGAAAATTTATCTAACTCAATAAAGTGTAATGTTAAAAAATAATCAGAAATCCAAGTTTCCTTAGTTGAAGAGGATTCGATTTTTATTTGATCAGTCTCTTAGAACTCAGGAATGCCCGTAAATATAAACAAAAGGGTTGTAAATCACAACGAAAGTATTATGCCAAATAAATGAAAAATTTAAGCTTAAAATGTTTCGTTTTTTATATCAGGGTAGATAGTTCATAGTCTTAATTAGCCTATCTGATTAATGTAATACCCAACAGATTTGATGCAAAGTGATTTCATTTAGATTTCATAAGGAAACGAAATTCATAAGTATGATTCTTATTATTTCTCTCTATTATCTTCCAATTTTTCTAGTTGACCTCTAACCTTTCCATACATAAACGTTTTAACAATTATAAATGCGATCAAACTGATCGAATAAACCTCGTGTCATTGCATTTATCAAAGGGATTTACTCTTTTGAAGAAAGTGATTTTACTATTTAAACCCAATTTGTCCACGTTTGATAATATCCTCAAAAATAAAAAATACGAAACTGTTTGAATAAATATATCTTTTAAAAAATGGAACTAATTATTTCAATAAATAATAAAGAAGTTGAAGTTATCCGACGATTAAAATAACACTTACTAATTTGTCAGCAAACAGATTTTCGGTAATTTCGCCAAACTTCAGGTTTTCCAGAGCCCCAAGATTCCCGTTAGCTGCTTGTCTGTAAGCCAGTACCTAATAGTTAAAAGCGAAAGAAAAATAAACTCATCATGACAGTATAATTATATACATTGCGTAAAATAAAGACTGAAAATATATCTAAATAACTATATGTGTAGTAGCAAATCCTCCAAAACATCTAATTTGTGATTGTTAAACTCAAGATTTTTGGATAGAAACAGTTGATTTAACCAGTAAAACTATGACATGTTATAAGATATGTTGACTTACCTATATCGGAATCCTCCATTGATTTTATAACAATTGAATAGGTAGCACAGTAATATTTCTCAATCACATCATAACTTTTTGGAAAAATTCTCACAAATATATCTCATTTGTTGTTATTTGTAATCATCAATATTAAACACTGAAATTTCATACTTTGTTCTTACTAGAATACTTATCAAAGACGGATAGCATGACTCTATTAAATCAATGGTTAATCTTGGTAAAAACAAATAAATAGATTCATCAACAAGTATTTTTGCAGTATACCCGACTAAGATATGTTGAGTAATTGCCATTCTTTACACGCTAAACGTTGGTAAGACCCCAAATGAAGAAATAGTTACCGATGACAGAAACTTAATCTTAAAAATACTACATTCATATATTGTGATTATTGTTTTCAACAAATAAAGATAGAATAAATTTACCTGAGCATGCCCAGTTCCAAGATCAGCCCCCAATTCACGACAAAGAAGACAGTTATACCCTAGATCAGTGGCTATTTCCAATTCGTCTTCAGTACGCAACTGGTCACAGTTGGCATGAGCCCATCGAGTACATAATGCACATCGAACAAGTAATTCTTCATCTCGATAAGCTAAATTGCAAATGGGACAAGTGGTGAGTGACGCACACGGTGCACATACAGAATAATTAGCGTGCCATTTTCCGTTAAGACCAGGATCCTTTTGACCACAATTAGTACATACAACACAGTCGGCACATTTCCAACCACCCTGTACGAAATATAAATGGTTTGTGTAAAAAAGTTTGAAAGTAAAATTTGTATCATATGAACACACAGAAACAATAAATTGTATATAAAGGTTTTGAACACAGAAACTGATAGGACTATCTGATTAACATTCAAACAACACACTAAATAAAATTTTGGAAATAATCAATTTTATTCAAACCTACTTTCGGTACTTCTTTCAATGGCGGATCTAAACAATAGGTATGAAAGCTAATATTGCAATCATCACACAAAAGTAGAAGACTTTCATTTGATGTTCCACCACAACCTTCACATACAGTACAATCCAAACAACGCCAACCTTTTTCAATCATAGTTCGTGTTATTTTAGGTACATCTGCACAAAAAGAATGGTAGCATTGACCACATTGAGAGCAAGCCAACAGAGGAGTATCCAAACCGATTGATCCACATGCAATACATATATCCTGTTCCAGCATGAAATTGTCATCTGCCCGACAAAATACTACTGTACTAGGATGATCATCCTTCTCTGAGACTTTAGATTCATACTAAAGCCACAGAAAAATAAATCAATAAAAAAGGGGATTCTAATAACAATGAGAAAATACATTTTTAACAGTCAAATAACTTTATGTCCCGACATTTACGTTTGTCTAAGACTTCTGTGATATCACTCTCAGTTTACATAGATCACATGAACTGATCAAAATATTCCATCACAAATAAAAAGGAATCGTATGATCAAGTGTCTATATTCATACAACTTTAATGTAATATAATTAGATGTCTTAAAAGGGAAACAATACAGTATTTTAATATCAGGGTTTTTTTTGTGTGCCAATTACGAAGTTGGATGTTGGCTCGTTAAATAATATACACAACCCTTATTCTTTTTTACTTCTGATGAAAGCAGCGTAAAAATGACTTTATAAGCATTATCACCATAACTAAGCTTTTCAGTGAGTGACTAGTCATAACTTGTAATGAATAATTCATCTATTGGAATAATAGATTTTATTTGAGGGATGTAGTTCATCGATACTAATTTATCCAGTTCGACAGGTTAAACCTATTTTATTACATTAACATGATAAATGACAATTTTATACTTAGATCATTACTTATATACACCTTCTATAAAAATATTTTATAACCAAGTGCATATTAAATATCATGTATTGTTTAATTTATGTGAATCAAACGACTCTTGTAATTTACTATTCAGTCATAATATAAGAAAATTGTATACTTTGAAGAGGACTCCTAGTGATTTAATTTACTTATTGAATAAAAAAGTAATCAAACATAAATAGACACCTATGCTATGATAACATACCGAAGTGATTTTCCGAGTTTTTGTTCGCCTATTTTTATTAATATTATTCGACGTAGCAGAACTATTAGTTCTTTTTAAAGCGCCAGTTTTTGTATTTCCAATAAACGACGTCTGGGTGTTTACATTGTTGGACTAAAGGTAGAAAAAAAATTAAATTCACGAGAGAAACTAACACCATAATAAGCTTAAAGTTTAGAGAATATAATACTATCCTAATTCGAAAAATATGTAAAACGACTCACTAAAATAAAATACAACAACTTATTATTCAAATTATTTCCACAATTCATTTCAATATTGGATGAATTCCAACCACTTGGCTAGAATAGTGAATACAATGTTTAACTAATTTAGAAGTAAATGATACATCTTAATCCTTTCACTGTGATACTTCGGCATTACATGTTTACGATTTGACGTCCTGAATACGTGGTTACCGAAAATATATCAGTGGTTAAAAACTATAACTTTTCACTAGTTATAGAATTTGAGAAACCCCTTCAACTATATGATCGATTAGTGATAATATTAACTTGTCTAACTCGCCACATTAGGTTCAACTTAGGAAAAGTAGAGTACGACCAAACTAAGACATATCTATTAAATCATCGGCGAGAGGTGAAGTTTTTTATTTTGAGGTTTGTCCAATGAACAGTATACTTAACTGACAGTTATACACTTGAATGGTCATGTAAGCAATAAAAACTAATAATTAATAAGGTTTATGATTATGACAATGGAAAATCCCTTTAAACTCTATACAAATAATACAAATATCTACTTTGCACTTTTTCTGATTAACAAAAAAATGTTACTACCTCTGAAATATTTCAACACAGTACACATGAACACATATCTCAAATAGAATTTATGCATACATGTTATTCAAGCATTTGATCCAATGCTAAGATCTTCATTTTTTAAAAATATCTACGTTATAGTGATATTTTGAAGCTCAACCGAGGAACTCAAAAGATAAGTTATTAAATATGTAACTCAAAGATAGAAACCTTATGCTGAAACAGTAAAACACTTCTTCAGTTTCGTATCGAGAACTAAAGAACTTAACAACAATAATAAGTTTAGAAAATAAGGTTTACATAGATAAGATGAGATTGGACAAACCCGTGTTCCTGAATTAGTTTTTGCAAAATTAAGATCACTAGTTTGGTTGTTTCCTCGCCTACGTCCACTACTAATATTAATAGAAGGTTGATCTATAGATGGCCGGCCATTTGTAGAATTTGTTACTGATGACTTGTTATTAGAGGTCACCTTACAATGTACACGTGGTGACCCTGGATAATCTTGACTATTCAGGTGGATTTGTTGCTTTCCTGGTTCAGTATTCGGAGTTGTTGAATTAGAGGTTGAGCTTGACGGAGTATTTGCCGATGTACTTCCATTAGCACCAGGACAAACTAATGAACCAGACCCAATACACTGACGAACTGTATCATCTAATAAGTCCCGGCCTCCTTGAGTAAAATTGTCATCCATAATATCGCCACCACTATTACTACTATTCCCACCTCCCTGAATCGGGCTAGCACGTAAAGAAGCAGTAGTTGATGCAGCCTAGCGGTAAAAAAAGATACAATATGAACATCTGTGTATTACACTTTCCAATTTTAACATAATAACAAATGGATTAGATAAAAGTCAATTCGAACAGAAGAGTTGGCAATTAAAGTTGAAATAAGAACTTGAATTGAGATAGGTTTTATATTAGTTGTCTTCAGGTTAGTGCACTGCTGTCTAGGTTAAAAGCCGCTATCGTCAAGCTAGGCTTTAATGTGAGATGTGACGGCTTGAACAAAATTTCATTTATTTTAACATATAAACATTGGTACAAAGGGGGCACCAAATAAATATGCGCCACACACTTGGACAAAAACATAACTGCCAGGTTCTACATTGTCAGCCTATCTGTCATATGGGCACTCGAAATAGACTGGTTTTATTGAAAACGCCCCCACCAACAGAGTATAGATAAGTGACAGAATATAATGTTACCTTCAAATAAGTACACTGACGAGAATAAACGTATTCTGAGTAAAAACATGAAAAATAATTGGCTTAGAATTGAAAACAACCCACTACTTGTCTATGAAACCTTGTTGTGTCAGAGAGATCAGTTGCAAATCATAAGCACAATGTATATTTGGAATGTACAATTCAGTCGACGGAAGGATTACTGTATGACCCTAGTAGTTCAAAAATCAACGCTAAAAAGTTAAAGATCATTGTGGAAAAAGCCGAGATGGTGATTCACTCTTAAATGAAGTAATTGAAGTATACAGAAATTCAGTTGTTCTATAACTACCCTTTAGTCATTTTATATCCACCAACGTCTTTATTAAGATATGGACACTGAATTTCCAACTTTTATGAACGTACCGAACACTATTGCTAACTTCAAGTGAGTATAGCACCAAGTTTCAATAGGTGAATTTCAAAGGTCTTTAACAGATGGCAGTAAGGTGCTATGAATTACGGGTGACTGACAGCTAAAGTTTGGGAACTGGATGCTATTTCTTTTGATTGTCTGCAATTGCTAACAATCTGTCTATAGAAGAAGACAGAAAATAGAATAATGAATATTAAACTTAAGCTTTTTTAGATACAGGAAATAGTGAGCTCGACAAAATTTGGAAGGGTTCATACCTTCAAATTCTGATGGAATTAACTCATTTATCATGTGCTTGGAGATGAACCACACGAGGGCTAATGATACCACTCAGTTGCTCAAACGGAAATATATGGAAAGGGGTTTGAGCAAGAGACTTATTGGCTAAAAGTCAAAAGCCTTAACCACAAACCCACTGATTCACTACTTCACTCCTAGTTGTGGATGTATCGACTAAACATTTACTCTTTCGAGAGATTTTAGAACGTATGTGATTTACAGCCTTCAGAATGACTGAATTATTTTAACACAGAATAATTAGCGTCAAGTGAAAGTAAACTGAAATTGTAGCCGTCATGTGACTGATATGTATATAACGTTTTTTATAGTAATCGGTTGACTCTGATACGGCGGTTATTTCAAATCCCGACAGTAACATTGGTTACTGAGTAAGCAACGAACACTAAATTAAATTGTACCTCGCTCGGTGTCGTTGAACCACGAGCTCGACAAACAGGACAGACGTAATTGGTGCAACAAATACCACTTGTTTCCTCACTGGCAGTAGATAAAGGTGAAACAGTCGTCTGGTTGGAAGAAGGATCACACTCAGCATGAACCATTCGGCGACACTGACTACATTTACTACCAGGCCAGACAAGAAAAGTACTGTTAGGATTCCTGTAAAAATTTTCTGGCACCTGAAAATCAAGAAAAATAAATACATATTTAGGAAGTGTGAACAACTCGTGACGGAAAGTATAAGGTAGCTTTATAGTGTTTTGGAGTTGAACTAAGTTTGGGGATTTTAACTGATTGTAATAACACAATACTGAACAGTAACCCATATATACCAATTAGTCCAGAAATTAAATAACTAGTACGGTTATCAACTAATATCACTTACATTTTGCAAGCCACAATTTCGTAGAAATAATAAGCGAATAAGAAGTGTGATATGCTTCAAATCTAGAAACATGATGTTCCAAAAATGGTTCAGTTAGTTCACGCTCAAATTATCATCACTACCGTGAATATACAATAAATTCCTGTAATCGATACAGAAAGATTTATATCATTCTTAATTTCTGATGAAAATTTGAGTACAATTCATCTCGAATACCATTCTGTTGTGAACCCTACTCATATCAAAGTATCCACAGTGCTGTTCTAAAGGGAATTACAAAATCTTTAGAAATCATCATATTATTCATGTTAACTGCTAAACCTGAAGAGCATTGAGTTAGGAAATATTGTATCAAAAATTTATGCAAAAATAAACTAAGGTCTGTAAAAACCCACTGTTATTACCAGAATAAAGTCACCACCGAAATAACCGCAGAAAATATAGATAAACAGGTCCATCAATTCTTTCGAAAACAAATGTAGCTAGAATTCCAGTTTTACGTACAAAATAAGCAATCCGAAGTATATATCATAACAAAGCCAAGAGAAAACATACGTGCAACTCTTCGGAAAAAATACATCTCTCATCATTAAATGATTCGTTACTGGAATACCTACCGGTAGTGAACAACGCCATGCTCGATCGCATACAGGACAACATGAATTCGGGCGTTTATGAGCGTGGAAACACCGATCACATAGGGTATAGTTACTATGCCAACGGACGTTCGGATTCTATAAAAAGAAATAGCTTTGTATGAAATCAATCCTGTTTTCGGAGGACAAACTAGCGATGTGAACTGCAACTTACGAGCTGATTGTTAAAAGCAACTGGTCCCTCCAAACCACTTAACGTAGAAGAGCGTCCGCCACCACAATCAGAACATACACGGCATCGTTCGCATCTGAACCCATTTTTAGGAATACTAGAAACAGGAGGCTTCAGACAATAAGTGTGATAGCCCTTGTCGCACACGTCACATACTAACATTTTATTTTCATCTTTACTTTCGCTAAAAATAGACAAGCACAAGAGTGTCAGTAGATAAAAGATTGAATTATACATATAAACATAGACAATTCCGTAAAAAAATAACAGTCGGTTTAAGGGTTTACTGCTTCGTTTCAGAAAAATTGTACAGATGTTTACAAGTAAACATAACTAGGAAGAAAACACTAAATCTATGAAAAAGGAAGTTAGTACACAAACCACTATTCCAATAAATTTTAGAAATCTTACTGGTGACTAAACAACTTCATATTTGCAATTAAAAACATTATAAAATGCCTAATTCATCTTGTTAATTCGCCTGAGAAACGTATTTTCAGATTATTTGCTGTTTAAGAAATACTTATATCATCGAATGTAGATTTTAAGATGACAACTTACTTGCAAATCAAACAAGTTTTGCATTCTGCACACTGCCACCCTATGCGAATTGTGGGACTTGGTTGCAAAGGTGGCTCCAAACAGGAAGCATGATAATGACTACCACAACCAGTACAGAACAGAAGCTCGGTTAAATCGCCTGGAGATTCACAGAGACCACACTGTATTGATATACAACCTAAAATATCATGTTTATAAATGAAATAAGAGTTTAAGGTGGGAATTAAAAATCAGTCACTAATGCTTTCAAAAAGAATAAAAATTAAAAGCATAATTGTGTTATATCCCGATAAGAATAATGAATGGTAATTTTGGGGATCCAATTATGGACCAATACTGTGAGTATATTTTTATCGTGTAATTGTTATGTAACTAAACTGTTCATATTCATGTCCCTGTTATTATGAGTTTTATTTTGACCTATGAACTATTATTATACGATTTACTATTCTTGAATTATTCCCTGTCTGTTAATCACTACCTCCCTCATTCACAATCACTTTTGGTCAAATATTGTACAAATGTTATTTTCTATTTTATGGTACATTGTGGTCTGCTTGGTTGGTATATAAACCCCGTATGTTTGAAATAAATGATTCATATTGCAGAGGCTGAGATTGGTGTTCTGGACTCAACTGGCTGGGCTAGGCGGAAAGCAGGACTAATCAGGACTCTAAGCTGCTTGCACATGTTTTAAGCGTCACTGGTTCAATCGATAATTCGCCGCTCTCTGACTGGCGGTATCGCTGCGTTATGCAATAAACAGGGCACACATGTTCACAGATTGTAGTGTAAAAAAAAGAATCATCCTACAAGAAACAATGCCGTAGTTGTTATGTCATGGTGATTTCTAGTTACTAGGTGGTTATTCTACATGTACTTCTGACATCGCACCGGTTTTGGTATCAAGTTTTAACTTAGCTTACTATATCTCCTTGATGAATTTCAATCACTAAAATTGCAATAAGCGTATTGCATGATATCTTACGACACCATGAAAGGACGCAAAACCGCATCACCGAGTAATAAAAACAATTTTATTTTACCGATCACGCCTATGAAAATCATAAGCCATCAGAGTCTTGACGAAACCACTCGATTTTTATAAATTATTACATAATATACGGAAATACAGATAGAAATACATATATTACTGGTTTTAGGCAAACACAAAAGAATGTATAGGGATGAATTGTTTTAAAAAACCACGCAGTTTGTATGTGCTGGAAGAAACAATTAAGAGAACTTTTAGAATGGCCAGATAAAGTTGATGGGAAAACAAGCATGTACAAGCACTGATAAATGAACTGAGACATTGTATTTGTCCAGTTTAAAAAGGGTATTAAACCTTTACATACATATGTAATTCACCTTTTGCAATATTCCGTAGAAAAATGGTTTGCTTATTAAAGCATAAATTTTGCTACCTAGAAGTGATTAACTATGTCATAAATCCGTAACTATGTACAGGTTTACGTGCTTAGCTTCGAGCCACACTTATCATGTAAGGGCCAATGATACTACTCGATATCTTAAACCAAAATGTGTGGAAATCAAGTTATTTAGCCACTATATCATTTCAAGCATTTACCAACAATTTACTATGCATCGAATAAATTTAGTCTTACTTGATGTAAGCGCTTCTGATATATGTACCGGACATAACAACTCTAACGATTCGATATCTTGCAGACAACCAGCTCCCGCTGCGCAAAGGAAGTGGAAGCACGAGTTGCAGTCACTGACACGACAAGGAATACTCGCTCCATAACGGAGACAAAGAGAGCACTTCCGAGTAACAGCTATAACCGCTGCATCTTCAACACCTTCCAGAACCATCTTAACAAGCAAAAAAACAGAAAATTTATGAACTCGAAAGCAATCAAGTTATTTTAAGGATGATATTAATTGATTACAAAACGGTTAAATAAACTACTTATATATTTTCCACTCATATACAATAAATGTTTCGTTTACTAATCAAAAGCAAGTTGAGGACAGACTTAAATGAGAGTAAGTGAATTGCTGTGGTCCTTTAAAATGTATGCCCCCAAATGCCCTGGTACGGCCGAGAGTGGGGAGAGTCCGCTCTCCCTCTCGAAATGCTCTCACATGGCCACGCGTATACAGCCTCTGCCAGGGAAGTCCTACTCACTGCTTTCTCATGGCGGGGGTGTTGTTTACAAAAGTGAGAGAACGAAAATCGAATGTCCGGCGCTTTAACCGGATTCCAAACCAATGGTGCACATGAGCTCCAGTATCCTGAAGGAACAAATGGCGTATGAACCAATAGTTGGTCACCGGCTTCCATGGGACTGCATCTACTGACGATGCTCCACTGCCTTGTGGATCAGACCTTTAGGTCGAAGGCACGGGGAGTGGCCCCCTAAGAAAACCAAGTGCTTCGGTTTGGGCACCCGGGCAGCATCACAGCCCTCACACATATCGAATGAGATTTGTGTGGCGCGTATGTATTTGGTGCCTCTTTGTACTATTATCTATGTGTTGAAATAAAAAAATTAATTAAACGGTATGAAAAGGATTTTTGATTCACCCTCTATTGTATCCAAATATGATAAACTCCACTATATGGTCCAAAATCAAGATAATTGTTGAAGTATTTTGTCAACGAATATATGTGATACAGTTAAACTAAACTGATGCACCAGGCATCATCGAGGTGCAAATCATAGATCGATTGATGAGTAATTTATATAACGGTAATATAACTGAAAACTCCTAAAACATTTAATGCAAGGAAAAATTAACGATGGACTGAGCAAGCAGCTTTACTTGACTGAAGCAGGATTTTATGAGTTCGGATGAAAATCGCCAAAAGGGGGATTTCCAGAAGACGAAAACCAACACAGGTTCTAGATATAAAATTACTTTTAGTGACATGAATGATTTCCTGTGCCAAATATCCTCTGATTTCAGGAAAACTCATTCTGGAGATGCAAAAGTACATAAACGTAAAAGTAAATACTTTTCGACTTTTTATGTTTATGTTTTGCGTTGCTCGAAAGTCATCCGTAAATCATACTTTTGCTGCTTTTAAAATAATGGTCCAAGTTAAAAAGACATTTACTGACCTGGTCGTTGAAGTGAACACCATTAGACCACGACGCACAACAATGATGCGCGTATATCCAACCACCTTCTTCACCTTCACGTGGAGTACACTTAACAATCAGATTAGAAACTTTTAAGGTATCTTCATCAGATTTAGAAGGCCAACCAACATAATTCAATTCTTCTACCAAACCAAATGGTCGGCCACTACAATCGAAATAAGCATTTGGCATCCCTGCAAGACAAGTTTTGCAGTCATAACTAAGTATAAACTTATAATGCAAATTCAACTCACCCAAAACAGTTTTTACTTCTACTGCGTCGACATCCGTCAAGAGATATGTGAGGGCCTACCTTGCAAAACTCAGGGTCTGTCGCCAAAGGTGTGAAAGATGCTACAACAATTTTGCTATGTTGGTTCCGTCGATTAGTGTGTGTTGAACGGTTTGTCACCAAGATATTTGTACACTTTTCCTGCTTAGACTTCACCTTGACGATAAAGTCACTGTACCAAGTAGGGGGTTCTGAATATTCAATCTTTGTGTAGAACCTCAGTAGTTCACCCTGTCCAAGGTTCAGGTTTCCATTCATACCGCAAAATATACAAAGAGGTGGAGTAACATCACTGAAGTTTTGTAATGTTTGACTCTCATCAGGATGGAAAGATGATAAAACTTTTTTGCTTGAAAATTCGGGATTCTGAACATCACTAGATTACTACAATAGCAAAATATCTACAAACAAACCTTGTAGATTCTTTCAAATGATCGTCTCCACATTCACTATCCTCGAAACCCATATTGTATTTACAAATTATATGGTTTTAAAACGTAATCGACACTCCAGCAAAGACCGTGAAAGTACTAAAACCGAATACAAATAAGCTACTTCATTAAGAGGTAACAAATATACTTGTTAGAACTACTAAGAGATTATTTTGCGTTGACTATCACCTGTCGGACTCACATTCTGGTGAAATAGACCATGGAAATAAACCATACCTTACTACTCACTTGTAAAACAAGTGTTTTATTGCTTGAAGTCTCATTTTCCCCGTAAAAGTAGAAGCACACTTTGTACCTGGCGGATTTATTAATATACACACTCAAACATGTATTAGGATACGACAATGTAAACATCAAATACTAATGTCTAGGTAGCTTTGCCAATGCTAACTATCAAATGAAAAGTATGTTAAACAAATTAATCTCTCAGAATTAATGTCATGGTCCAGTTAGTCGTTATTTTATTTTTAGTTATTATACGCTTGGTACAGAACTGCTAGGTAAAGGTATTTCGTTCTAACGAGGAGTTAATATCGAACCCCTTCGAGTTTAGAATGTCTCCCAACATCCTGTGTTTGGTCATCGTTTCCCCCATTTGGTCACTCACACCCAGAGTAACAACATGATACTAACGATGTATTTGGTAGTTGTAACGATAGGTTAATTTCGGAATAGCCGTCTAATTTGCTTGAAAGTTCTTTATGGAGGCTATCTTGACGTCTTCCGTGTCTTTCACTAGGCATCAACTGTAAAATAAATGGAAAACTTCAAGATGTAATTCGTGAGATGCTTGCCTTGAATATAATATAACGTTAAAATAAGAATTGAACTTATCCTACACTAAATATGATATACTCCATCTTATTACAATGTAGCGGTAAATAAATCCCCAAACTAAATAGCTCTGTAAGTTTTCGACATTGGATGCTGACCATATGTTTTAGTGGACTCATCTAGCTGAAGGCGCTCGGTCATGCATCCGCACCAGATCACGTGTGGTAACCCCGTGCTCAACATCAACCGCAATCGCTAGCCAGATTAGATCAGAGAATTCCGATATATTGGTCATCGCCAAATATACTCTTCCGATCTCCTCGACTCTGTCTTTTGATTTCTCTGGGTGGGAACGAAATACATTAGAACGTGTTACTGGTAGAAGCGTTGTCAAACATTGAATACTTTTGACATCATCAACAATGTAGGACTAGTGCAGTGTCATTTGGTCATAGATAATTCATCCGGTGGTCGGATCACTGAATATCGAACAGTTCATCGATCCTCGTCAAGGTCAAGGATGATCAGTGCGTAGGTAAGTCTCCATTAACTCAAATGGTTCTTGACAGAATAAAAGAAGTTTCCTCATAACGAGCTCCCGCATCTGGTAGGATCACTGATGTCCCCAGGTAGGAACCTAGGTATATTTGACGATAGAAGAAAAAATATTAGTAAACTATGGCCAAATATTGTCCTCGGCCTTTGAAAATATGCCACATTTCCTCTTAAAAAACCTTGAGATTTGCTCGAACCAGCTCAGCCAGCAGAGAATTGCAGAATTTGACTGTTCGTAAAGAATAAAAGGTGGGATCACGGTCTGTCCTGCTATGTTATGCCTCTAGTTTCTAGGTGTTAACACCAAGTTTTGTGTTGTGAGTGAGCTCAAGTTGGTCGTTAAGGGGATGCTGTGTGCTGTTTAAGATGCTGTAAGTCATAAGAAGGCCGACTCTGTGACGCCTAGTGATTGTAAATTCAGTTATCTGAGGCATTATTCATAAGGCATGAATTTGAGTCCTTGAACTGACTTCGTGGGTTGCAATGTATTCTTATGCTTTTGGAGTAAGGGAAGAAACAATACACTTCCATATTCTAAATGTTTGAACAAAACTGTCGAGGATTAAGTGGAAAGTCCTACTATCATATTGGTAAGAAATGAGCCGTGATGTCATAAGTAAAAGGTTTGCTCGAAAGGTATTTTTGTCGCAGTCAGCGTAAGACTTCAGATCATAGGACACTAGGACTTCTAGATTGTTATCAACATGAAATACCTCTAGGAATAGAGAAGTTACTTTAATTGTATGCATGGTCTGAAACCAGTCTCGAATGGTCTGCTTTATACCTTAATGTGTTGAAGGTAAACCCATTGTTGTCCGTTCGACTTTAAAGTTAAATTCAGATCCTCCTGAAGTTACAGCTCGTTATGTTGGTCGCAAACATCTCTACAAAATTTCACATAGTCAGCGAAAGGAAGTATATCAGACGTTGCTTGCCGAAGGTCATTTATGTGAATTAAGAAAGGAAGAGGTCACGGTTCTGAACACTGAGGTCTCCACTAGAACAGTCTGTAGTCCGAGAAAATGTGAAGATCACCCTGACCTTAAAAATTTAGGTAAGACATATGATTGACTCTATTTAAAGTTTTTGATAAGTCAACCTTTCGCTTAGGATCAAGGTTGGTTGCCCATCTGTCCACGGCGGTCAGCAGGTTGAATTTTCCTTGTTGAGATTCTGCAGTTGCTGACTAACCACGTCAAGCCTAGGTTTATTTCTGGGACTCCTGTTGAGCCGCAAGGGAAGCTCATCGATGTAGTTAGAATAGGATGGCTGAAATGTTTGAAAATACTGTTTGCCAGAAGATTAGTGAAGTCACCTTCGTTGATGGTTAGGCCATTAGGACCTGACAATTGTGAAACCCAGGTTTTGAATTGTCAAAGAGAAGGTTCATGACGGGTTAACATTTACGAACTGAAAGCAAGTTAACAAATCGGATTTAGCTGATACTGAATACTATCTTTTCTTATTGCCTTACTGCATTGGTTCCTTACTTGTTCGAACTACTTATGTGCTGCTGTCAATAGTTGGTTTATGTTCTACCCTGTAGTGTCTTTTACGTTTTAGCCGAGTGCGATTCTTTACGATAGCAACTTGTCTATAAATTTTGAAGGTCGTTTGTGACAGACTGTTCTGTAGCATATAAGATGGTGTTCATTAAGAAATCCTAATGAACGTCCACATCAGGTTGGGTGTGGGTTTCACAGTCTACCTACTGTGGGCTGACCTATAAAGCTGACACACTCGATCTCTTTTAATTGCAACGCCTGCTGTTATTAGAATGTTCTAGTTTAGTTTCACAGATTTGTCAAGAGTGATAAACCGATGTGTGCACACTTGACGTGCAAGCAAGAATGTACGTACAGGACTACTCCATCTACATTCCTGTTTTTCTGTCATTATGAAACAGATATGCCGAGTATTGCCAGCTTCTGGTATGTAAATTGGGATGTCCATGCTTCAGATAGTCCTATCAGTTGAGTATTATTAGTATTACTTAGTCCATCCATTTTTTTCGGAAACCTAACGACGTTTCTGTATAAGCAGTTTGTGCTGTCGAGTGTAGACGCGTAGGTTTCCTCGTTCCGTTCATCTGAATGAGCGTTATGGGGATAGATAGACAACATACATATATAGGTTTGTTCTAGTTGGTAGCCCATGACTCTTCTACGCATCTTCTTGTTCTTGACAGGGAACAGGTGGAATAGTCTGACCTAAATTGTTTTGTGCTTGATCCTTGCATTGTGTGATCTATCCGATTGCGTGTGTATATTCCAGTTGGTAGGCGGCATCTGTTGCCACAAAGGGCTTCAAAAGTAGTAGCCGCCATTTGAGAGAAGGGGAAGGTTGTCTTCATTAGCCAGAGTCCTTTTGGCTGATCGCACCACTTGCTGAGTCAATATGTTCTTGAGCTTTAAGCGCTGCATTATGAATTCACAATCTACAATCTATCACAGCCTGTAAGATCAGACCCCGTGTTTTCTGGAACACCTTGCACAATGATATTTCACCATCGAAAGAACGTCTCGCAAAGGATGTCCCTAATGAGACCGCGCTCAGAATATGGTATTTAAAAGCGTATTCTTTCAACCCCTTCTGACTTCAGAAGCTGGCTAGCCGAAAGAACACTTCATACATCAAAGTTGGTGAACATTACACTGAGTCCTAGATGGTTTTGGTGCTTGGTAACCTTCCTCCGAGTGAGCCGTGTAACCGTGAGTAGCTCAAGTGTGAGCTTTCTTGTTCAATTCTTTACAGATCAACCTGTTACTTTTTTTCTGCAGACTGAGAGCAAGATCAAAGTTGCTTTTAAGTTAATGATTATGAGGAAATCATCGTGATCGTCTCTTCAGGTTTTCTGGTACTTTGAGGTTGAAGAGTAGGTTGCACGGCCAGTTTAATAGCTGACTTTTTTACAGAACCTGAACTGCTCAGCATTTTTGACGGTGAAAATCGATCCTCTTCATAACTGCTAAAAGTAGTTCAGTCACCTACAAAACTTTCGGGGATCACAGTTGCACTTAAGGGGCCTGGGATATTGGACACAATTTCACTAAGAGCTGTACACCGTCGATGTTTTGGCGGTGATGAGCTTCAGAAAATCCACATTAGTATCTATGCGTCTAGATCATTACCTCTTTCAGGGTTTATGACAATTCTTTTCGCAGATCTATCAAGAACATAATGATGTTGCTCAGCAAATCCTCAAGATCACGGTACTTTTATAAGGATTAGAAGCATGTAAGGGCTCCTGTTTAATATGTCATTTTACATATGAATCACTCGTAATTATAGCCACAAAGCTGCGCAAACACACATCTATATGTAGCTTATAGAATGAAGATTAGACCAGCTATTATTTGTAAATTCATCTTCCTACTTAATCACGTTATACGCTATTTTCTATCGGAAGCTATCCACTGGAATGTTTATCTTACTTGACCACTGTCAATCTATTTTCCAGTTGCTGGGTACCATGGTCAAACAGACGATCCGAATGCCTGAAATAAGCAGGTTGGACTGTGAGATTCTTGAAATCTTATACTTAATCTGAACTGCTCGTTCAGATGATGACACGTATTTAGCCGAATTTATTGTTGGATCTGTGCAAACTTAGTCGACAACTCTGCCAAACCATGAATTAAATCTACACTACGTCGTATGTAATTCAATTTATCTTGGATTTATA